TGAAGCAGCACATGTTGTCTCCACAGTGAAAGAGGGGATTTGACCTGAAGGCATGTCTTATGCGCTGTTAGACCGGCGCGGCTGATGAATGTCTCGGAAAGCCCTATTTACAGATCCGATAGGCATCAACTGATGGTATTTAGGTTAGACGAGGGCATGAGAGACATAATAATAGTTCATCCCCACCCGTATTAGGCGCATGAAACATAAATTAAAGAAAAGAAAGACGATTTGAAAGAGACCGTTCTTTTCTTTTGCTCGCTTCGATGAGAAATATCAATAGTTGTCGTGTCCACTCGTTCTCCACAGCTCGGATTCCCCATAAAGTCCACCTGTTCGCGCTTTTCATGGACCTTGAAATTCCGCTCGCTTTTGCCCTTTGATATTCCCAACTCCACCATGGCCAGTCCTGCCCCGGGACACCACCAGACATTGCCTTCTCCCCCACCAGCCTACCTCCGATCATCACCGTCATTCACCCCGTCCGAAACACCACGGACTATCCCGAACCGACCCCAGAAGTTGAACCTGAGCAAAACGGTCCACCAAGCATCGCGATCGGAAACCTCCCTTGTCATTCAACACTCTCCGCGCTCGCCGGTCAAAATCGCACATGGCGCAGACATCCCCGATGCCTCGAGCGTGCGCATCGAAGGCGCATACAGTGGGCCCACCACGCCGCAATTGGACCTCCCTGAGTTCACAGACCTGTCACTCGAGGACCCCGTACAGCCGCCTCAGCACACCTGGAATCCTGCCCATCCCCAGCGGCGAGACTCATCACAGGCCCACTACACACATTCAAATTCGTACGGCCATACCCCAGCGAGCAGCGGCTCGTGGTCGGTGATAGATCCGAAGGATGACGGACACGGAAACAAAAAGAGCCGCCCCTCGTTAGAGCGCGCGGGTCAGAGCCATAACGGCTCTTCGCGGGAAAGCTTGGATAGCGTGCCGCTGGTGGAGGACAACTATGAACCTCTGGCCTACCATCACCAGCAACCGGCCGCGGCAGTTACCAGGAAACCCGCACCCAAAGGAGATAACCCATCCGCCTCGACGGATAAGCTGGCCGTGAGGCGAACCAGGCTTTCGCGGCCTGTTTCGGCATACTCCTCAACCTCAGACGGGCGTCATCGACGGAACCTCTCCGCATCCCCGTATCTAAACGCGCGCTCCTCGTCAGGAACCCCAGAAACCAGGTCCCTATCATTCCTCAATTTGCTCAATACATCATACCCGCAGCCAGGCCCAACCACGCAATTCGACAACTCGCGTCTCCAAGCCTCAGTCGGAAACAACGCCTCCCTCCTTAGCCACAAAGAGACATTCGAGATGTACCTAGCGAACGTCAAGAAAACCGACGAGCCAACAGTGCTGTACGAATTCGCCGTGTTCATGGTAAACTCGATGCGCGAGATGCCGCCCGTGGACGTCGAAGACTCCAGCCCGATAACGCGCGCCCGTCTCCTCCGAGAATCAAAATCCATCCTACAGCGCCTCGCCGACCGCAGCTTCCCCTTCGCACAGTACTATCTCGGCGACGGATACGCGTCAGGTCTCTTCAGCAAAGGCTTCGAGGACTACGACCGGGCCTTCCCGCTCTTCCTCGCAGCTAGCAAGCACGGCCACGTCGAAGCCTGCTACCGCACAGCGTTGTGCTACGAGTTCGGCTGGGGGTGTCGCGTCGACGGCAGCCGCGCAGTGCAGTTCTACCGCCAGGCGGCGTCAAAAAACCACCCGGGTGCCATGATCCGCATGGCCAACGCCTGTATTGCTGGCGATATGGGGCTAGGCAAGCGGTACCGCGAGGGCGTGAAGTGGATGAAGCGCGCGACCGAGTCTGCAGATGCACAGTATAACTCCGGCCCGTACGAGCTCGGCGTGATGCACGAAAGAGGCTTCGGAGATGATGTCTTCCCTGATGCTACTTATGCAGCGCAACTATTCACTAAATCTGCCGAGCTGGGCCACGTCGAGGCTTGCTATCGGCTTGGGGATGCGTATGAGCACGGGAAATTAAATTGTCCACGCGACCCGGCGCTCAGTATCCATTTCTATACCAATGCTGCGCAGAACGGACATCCGCTGGCTATGATGGCGCTTTGTGCGTGGTATCTCGTTGGCGCGGAGCCTGTGCTCGAGAAGGATGAGAACGAGGCGTATGAGTGGGCTCTCCGTGCTGCGAATCTCGGCCTCGCGAAGGCTGAGTATGCTGTCGGCTACTTTACCGAAATGGGCATTGGCTGCCGGCGTGATCCTCTCCAGTCGAATGTGTGGTATGTCAAAGCCGCAGATCAGGGCGATGAGCGAGCTAAGCATCGAATTGCTACGATCCGGGCTGCGGCCGAGGGTAAACATCCAGCTGCTGCACGCAATGCAGCGACGCGCAGTGCAGCCCGGCTTAAGAAAGCTGAGCGCAAGGCTCAGGCCACAAGTCATGTCCAGGGTGAGTAAACCAACCGAGTTGTATACACATTTTGCTAACTAAGTTATCCAGAAACTGAAGATGAAATCGACAAGCCCGCCAAACAGAAACGATTTGTCATTTTCTAATCTCAAACCAAATGAACCGCACCTTCCAAGCACCCCAACCTCAATCCCAACCCCGGTTACCTTGAACCCTCAGCATTACAATACTAGCCTGAAACCTCACGAGAACAGTCTACGAACGAAAATACATACATAATCCTATCACCATCACCATCTCTGCATACACCCGCGCCAAGCAAAGCGCGAGCATGAACCCTGTCATTTTACAAGCGATCTCACATCCCAATTATTGAAATTTTCGCCTTTCTCGAGTATCAAGCTGATATCTCGAACCTGTTTATACCACTCTCCTTTCGTATCTATTTTGCATCTGTCATCTCATTTCTCATCATCTGATCATCTATCTATGCGGTGGTTTCATTCCTTGCACTCACGCTCATCTTCGCATAAATCTCCTCCGTACTCTTCGTTGGTTTCGCTTTTGCTCATTTATGCTTATTCGATGCTTTGTATCTTACTCTAACCGATCTGTGTCGGTAAAGGCGGACGCATAGATTTATGTAGAGATGATTGTTAGTCTGAGAAAGGAATAAGGAATATATAACGGATCTCACGATTGATTACATAGTTGAAGAGGATAAATTTGAATACGTGATTAATTCGATGACAGATCTCAATATAAACCAACATTAGAATAAAGGCAATAAAATATCATCTAAAGATATATGTTGTCATGCACAACAGTGCATAATCGTGTTGACTCTCGCCGTCCCGGCTGGTGGGGGTTCCCCGCCGGATGATCTCCATGACTTTGATCAGTAATCCATGCAGGTTAAAAGAATCAAGGAATCTGGCGAGGTTACTCCCGGATAATCTTCACGAATCTGTTCAGTAATCGAGTAGCTTAAAGAACTAACTCATTCTCATCCGCAATTTCCTCACGACCAAACTCACCATGGGCGTTCATGTGGTTTCAAAGCTGGATAACCGCCAGCATGCGAGCTTCAACCCCGAAGCCACCACTCAGAAGGAACTATCGGAGTCTTCAGTAAGAATTCGCACGCAGCTGATCAGCCTCACTTCAAACAATTTGACCTACGCCCTAATGGGTGGATTCTTGCATTGGTATGTTCCGAATATCTTCCAGACTAGATGACTGTCGGAAAATACCCTGAAATAAGATTCTCATTAATTACCGGCAGGTGGGACGCATACCCCGTATCCGAGTCCTATCCCGCACCATACAACGACTCCTCAGCATGGGGAATCGTCCCAGCCTGGGGCTACGCAACAGTAGAAGAGACAACGATCCCAGAACTACCCAAAGGAACCCTCCTCTACGGATTCTGGCCTACAACCAGCACACCAACCGACCTAAAACTCAAACGCGGCTCACCAAAAGACCACTGGCTCGAGACCAGCGCTCATCGCCAACAACTAATGCCACTGTACAACCGCTACACGGTAACCCGGACATCGCGCCCGATCTCCGATCTGACGCACGCACCCAACCCCCCAGATCCCGCACGGGACGAGCTAGACCGCATGGCCTGGACCGCGCTGTACATAGGCGGGGTAGCCGGGTTCGTTCTCAGCGAGTACGTTTTCTCGTCCAACCCGAGCCAACCGCCCATCCATCCACTGGGGAACCAGGCTGGGTTGCACTGGACCCTGTCCGACGGGGAATTGTCGTCCGCGGTTGTAGTTAACCTCGCCGCGTCGACGAAAACGGCCCGTGTTTTCTCGTACTACGTGTCGCGGAAGCTGGATGGTTCCGCGCCGCTGGGCTTGTTGCAGGTTACGTCGGCTGTGGCGTCCATTGAGGGGGCGGATCGGAATTTACCTACTGCTGTTCCTTCTAAGGTGGTTGGATATGGGGATGTTGGTTCTGAGGAGTGCGCGGAGTGGCTGGTTAGTCGCAGGCCTTCGAAGATAGTTATTGTCGACTTTGGTGGTCGTGGGAATGCTCTCCAAGACACGCTTTCCCTGATTAAGAATCATGCCGAGTTGCAATCTTGCAAGGTTGTTATTGTTCAGGTTGGTAATGAGCAGAAAGTATACTCGATGGAGGAGATGATTGCTGGGAGAGCGGCGATGGCGGAGCTTGGAAAGGTTCAATACAACACTTCCGGTGTTCAAGACACGATACTCGAGTCTGTCAGCCCGGAAGCCTATTTCAAAACAAGAGGCGAGCAGTGGGAGAAATGGCTGGATGATCGACACTTGAGTGTGCCGGGAATGCAGATCGCGTTTGGCAGCGGTGTCTCGGGTCCTGATGGTATTGAGGGAGGATGGGAGAGACTGTGTCATGGACAAGTAAAAGCTAAAGAGGGGTTGGTTTACAAGATGCAGTGAGGCTTGAGGTCGACAGGGAATATGTTGGATATAGTATTTAACGGACAGAATGAGAAGGTGTTCGTGAAAGTGAAGCGCTCAAGGCTCGGGCCTTATTTCGAGATTCATTAAAATCATAAATGAAAGTAGACAACATTCCAAACTCAAACAGACTATAAGACCTCTTCGTATCGGGGAGCAGGCTCCATGGTGTGAATATTCGCATCGTGCTCACTCAAAGTACACCCAGGATTCGTCTCCGCTGGTATAGAATGCTCACAAATATTTAGTTGAGAAGCTGCCGACACTATCAAGTCCGAAAGACGATCACCGTAAGCTGGAGGAGGACTTTGGCTTCCCTGCATGAGTTGGATATCTTGCCCATGAATGGTCGCATCTTCTCCAATCACATTAGGTGTCATATGAATCTTAAATGGCATAACTTCCGTGATCTAACTTCCGTCAGCTGTATGTTATAAAATATTTAACCAAGTTATTATGCATACCACAGCCGTAACATCCCCAGCCTCATCGTGGAACTCAGCAGTGATAGAAAGCTCGTGCGTAATCTTGAGATGTCTGGTCGAGATACTCTGCGAGCAGGAATCGAGGCTTTGTGGCAGAGAAACGGGTATAGTGAAGCGCCATTCAATTTCCGAGCCATCTCCCGGAGACTCGTCGCCTGGAGAGAAATCAATGGTCTTAGAGAGAACAGTTTGAGTTTGTGCTGCAGTGATAAACTGCATGTTGTGTCGCACTGAGTCTGCAGCAGTAGCTTCCAACCGCGCAGTTTGTTTCTCAATGACTTTGATTGTGACAGTGTTGAGCTTGGCGTATTTCAACAGCGGTGCAAACCAGCATTCCACGGGGAATGTGCAACCAAAGGGAACGTTCCGGTCAGTGATGGAGAGGCAATACTGAATATTTTCACTGGAATGGCCCTCGAGAGTCTAATATCTTCAGTCATTCATGTAGCAGAAGCTTTCAGATACAATAAACTAACCAGTGGACAATGTAGTCGTAAATAGCTCGTCTCCAAATCAGAAACCTGGTAAATCCTAACCGGCTGCGAGACCACAAAATCGCTTTTGAGGCGTCGCTCGACAATGGCCTCTACGCGATATGTGTGATATTGATGGTTTGCGCCAGTGGCTGTATCGAGGATCTTGCTAGGAAGCGGAATATCGAATAAAAATGCGTGGTCTCCTGCTGGCATTTCGAATGCTTTGAGCGTTTTCGAAGAAGCTAGAGGCTGTTCTCGCTCGAATGTAATCTGTTCCCGGCTGTCTGATCCCATGATTCCTTCAAAGGGACTATGTGTCGAAGTAAGAAGATAGTCGATGCGAAGTATGGGGTGGGAGTCTCACATTGCGAATGTTCCCCTCAATCGCACTTTAATATTCTTGACCGATACGACTCGTGCAAGGGAGAGAGTGAATCTTCCAGTAATAGACACTGGATGCCGCTGTTCTGAAATAAAAACGCATGCTTGATCAAGACTATGGAATATGTTAGATTAGATCATAACGGAAAAGCTAATAGGAACATCATACCTCAACTCGGAGCTGGTAATGTGTTCGCGGAACATCGTCAAAGACCAAGGAATATTAGCTTAATAAGTCAGAAGCTATAATATGGATTCAATTGACTCTGGTCTGGCAAATTTACACGGGAAATCATGGCACATTGTCTGTCTTTATACTCGTCTCTGCGCAACGGAGCGGACATTCCTAAACGGGGTCGGGACCTGATTTCAAGGACTCAAACCTACAAGCGCAGCTCCTCACCACGGAAGGAAATACCGACATTCTTGTAATGCTGTCTAAATACCTATGTTACAATAAGTTGCGAAAATATTTCAAGGTCGGTCCTCAGAGGCTTTTTCTGACATGCTGGTGACATTCCTTGATCTATACTACACATCTTCCCATGATCATACGACTGTTACTTCTGAAGTATGTAATATATCATGTTACTTGAGTCTTAGTATTTTAGAAGAATACATAGGATTGCTTTTCATACACTATAGTGATTGATACATGAACATCTAGGAAGCTATCATACAGCGGAAACTCCCCACTAAACTACTTCAGGTAAGTTTTCCGATGGCCGCTATCCATAACTAGGATATCTGAATCTTTAGATAATAATAGCATGGTTGAAAACAGCGGCCACCGGAAAACATACCTAATGTGGCTTAGCGGGAGTGTGTAGCCCTGTCTTCACATCTCATGAGTTTGATATTTCCTCTGTAGCACCATGATCAGACGATTCTATCCCCCGCATATTTAATACAAAAGGAACAAAGTAGCGCAGTCAATGCGTATATACACAAGATTTGAAACCGAGCTGCCTTCTCATCTTTGTGCACCTTCTCAAGCTAGACTGTGAGGAGCAAATTCGAAGTCTGCCATGTCGAGATCTAGCAATAATTGATCATTCGGGCCATTTGGAAAACCGACATCAAGGAAATTGCCGAAAAAGGTATCGAATTCCTCAATTTCAGTCGCTGTTAAAAATGGCATGCTGTCTACTTCGAGATTCAAAGGTTGGTCCGGTCCCAGTCGATGACCAGCCAGAGGGTGTGTGCTCGGAGATCCTGCATTAATCCGTCTCCCCACATTCGGGATGTCGGTAGCTGAGTGTGACTGCATATCGTCAGTGGAAGCAAGTCGCCGTGGAGAGATACGACTCGATTCATGTGCAGAGTTTAGTCGGGTGATATCGATTTCTGGGCCTGTGGAACGTTCTTGGTCTACGGTGGGTTGGATGTTGCTCAACACACGCTGGCCAAGACGAGTCATCACAGCGGCCGACCACCACGTAGTGCTCATTTCCTTGAGAAATTGATGAAATAAACGGATTTGGGAAATGGCTGTGCGGCGCGCACTTGTTAGTTTGCTTTCTCTGAGCTGTTTGTACGTGACCGAGAAGGCGAGCGAGACGGTGTAACCGATCATGGGAAACGGCACGAAATTCCGAATATCCTGATTGAAACCGAACGACGCGATGGTAAGAATTGAATGGCTTTGTCGGATTTTTGACGCTCTTGGCTGTGATCGGCCTTGCAACCCGCTGGAATGTGTTGACAGAATAATGACAGAATGATAAACAAGCTCCAAGGACTCTGCGGTCTAGGGGTTAGACAATGTTGCAACTAGAAGACGGAAAGTTTCATACCAAGCAGGCCTGGAGCCATGTCCCAGGCCTCACAGTGCTCCAAAAGGTCTTCAAAGGAGGGAAGATCGAGTTCACTCTGATCCACGCTTTTTATGATCGGTCGGTAGAAGTGAACCACTTCTCCGAGTTTATCGGCAATTCGAAGCCAGACACGAAACGGCGATCGGAACGTTGAAATAACATCGTCCACCCCATGGCTTCTGTCTCCGTCGTGTATCATTAAAGGCCTCCCATTCATAGCAGCGTTCCATCGGTCTAGACTCCACAGGCACCAGAAAAGATTTCTGGAAGATGTATCAGAGTGTTGGTCTGGCCTCAGCAAATGCAACCCCATGGTCTGGGCATGGTGGATAGCCTGGGCCAGATTCAAAGAACAATCCTCGGATCCAGTGGAGCCCCATTCGTGCAGTGATAGGAGCGCCAATATCTGTATTGCAAGTACTTTTTTCTCAGGCCTTCTCGAGATTTTTTGCATAGCATCGGTGTACAGGATGTTGCTGAATTTCTCCAGTGGGAGGGGATTTGAATCCGGACCAAGGCATAGGAAAGGCACCGCACCCCGGTCCTTTGCCGCGACAAGACACATCACCTGCAGAAGTCGCGCAGCGAGAGTTCCCGCTCTGTGTTGGCTTCGCACGTTATCTTCATCAAGTAAAGGCAGTAATGGATGTATCCGACGAAAGTATATGTCTATCAAAGCCTGTTGGCAGTCTTTCGGAGGCAGGCAGCCGGGGTGAACATGGGTCCCTAGCAATATTTGTGAAGAGTCAGGGGTTTCGCCGCGGTCAATGGAGCTCTCCTCGGTGCCCAACCATGCACCTACATCTCCTTTCTGGGATCGACCGCCCTGCAACCTTGACTCGTTCTGTTCCATGAGAGTCGCTATAGGGTTTGAGTCACACGCAAAACGACGAGATTCTTGATCGGCCTCTGCAGGTGTATCTGCATTAGGGCCGATGAATGATTCGGCCTCTTGTTCCATCGGATTCTGGAGTGAGGAGACACTTGATCGCTCACATCGGGGAGATGCAGATCTATTTCGGACTGCTGGATCCCGCCTTGAAGCTTGAGGTGCAGGATGTCGGCTACCTGCGAGACCAGAGAAGATGGGTGAACAAGTCACATCAGCTACTTCCTCCGGGGAGGTATTGTGATAACACCGTTTCTAGAAAAGTTAACTTCCGACTCCGAGGGCTGTCTAGGACAGAACGCGACACCTTTTTGTGACGACAAGAGTTACACGCACGCCGTGCATGTCCCCTCTTGGCATTTGTTCCATTGCGACTAATCAAGAAAGTCAGCTCCATTTTCAATGATTTATACGTTGTATGTCTTGTTGACAGGTCGTTGCGGGGTTCTTCTAGCTATAACACCGAAAAGTAGAGAACTGAGTCCTATATTATGCCTTGTGCCGTCGGGTCCAGTGCAAAAAGCCCAGAATATCATTTAGTTAGTTAACTAGGGCTCTGTCCGATTCTGGCCTGGATATGCAGGCTACCATAGAACACAGGCCGCCATGACCTAGGGAAAAGAGCCTTCTGGATTTAGCTAGATCATATCACTTGTCATATATGATTCCCTGCAATTCATAGTTCGAATATCAGAGGTCTTTGCACAATACAATATCCAATTTTTGGTGGTCTTACATTCCTATCCTTTATATCTGTAAGTCATGAGCCTAGGATCAAGAATGATTTTGATTCGACAAATACGGCATCTCTGGCTATCTCTGCTTTATATTTACGGGGAAACAATTTCACGTCTAGATTCCTCGAGACAATAACCCACAGGATATCCTAGTCATCAAGAGTTGGATGACATTGCCGGTCTTCTCTCTAGAATTCTCGGATATCTTTGAAAGGGATTGTTACAGTGCCGACATTCTGTCCCATCCCCTTCTGCTCATTAAACTAGGCAAAATGAGTTGTACGTGGTGATGTCTAACGCCAATAAGCAGATGACGGGAACAATTACTAGCACTGGAACAATACTTTCGAAAAGCAATCGGAGAAAGCCTGCATGCAAGAGAGGTCCTAGGATCTGTTTTCAATAAGTTGATATGAATTTCTGTCCAAGAGAAGACACCTGGGAGTAGATATCGGAAATCTTGTGCCTTGAAGAATCTCGATAGAATTAGATTTCGCAGAGAATCAGACATGCTATTTTGACGTAAACTGAATATTTTGCACCAGTATTCGAACTAGGCATGGAATTATCGCCAGCAGTCAAGGACCCCTAACGCCAATGTGTACGGGTAGTCCGGAACTGGGAAATTAGTTTACGTAGAGATTAGCCGCGTAGATTACGCCTTTAAGCGTCCAGTGCTCTTCAGCCTCGCCTTCTCCACAAAAAAGGGTGTGCTGCCTTGGCTAGCTCAGGCGGCACCAAGGCACCCCTAGGCAGCAGCCTCATTGATGCCCGATCCCCCAGGCCACCAACCTTGACAACATCTGGTGTTTTTATTTAAAAGACGACTTGTTCCTTCATGTTTTCTCGACTGGTCTCTTTCTCTGTACTTTCATCCCAGCTTGCGACCTTTTGGTTTTCGATCGTGTTAGCTTCCACCTGGTAGCTCTTTCCCTTTACCTACACATCACCTGGGCACCTCGTACTTGACTCCCCTCTTCAATCTCTACCTTTTCCATTCCTATTTGTTACTCTTGATACTATTGCCATTTTTTTGCAATTGAGCAACATCATGGCACCTCGAAGTTTCAAAAAACTCGTCATCACCGTGGGCGGCACATTTCCCAACCTGAGACAGGGTATGGGCCCCCTATTCGCTAGGCTCTTTATTTAGCTCACCTCCACCAAAATCTGTATGCTGACCACTCTACTACTCCTAGTGGACTTAAAAAAACTTATTGAGGAGAATGGTGCGACTTTCAGCACAGCGGTCACGGATGAATGTACCCATCTAGTGACCACTGACAAGGATGTGGAGAAGCAGACTACCAAATGTGAGTACCACATAAACAACCTCGGAAGTTTGATATCCTGTGATTCTGTCAATGGTCAATATACTACCACCCCAATTCTCAAAACGGTGACAGACCGCATTGGGGATGATAATGGCTACGGCGATGTTTCGATATTATGTATAACCTCGGGGCTCTCTTATTAACCAATCGACCAGATAAACAAGCATCCCAAGTCGCCAATTGTCACATTGTTTCACTTTCATGGCTTCTTGAATCAGCCGAAGCGAAGAAACCATTGCCGGAGTCGAATTATTCCTTCGGCCAGGCGTCGCAGGCAGATGACGACACACAGAAGACTGCAGATGCTGCTCCTGCAGAAAACAAGCGTATTACTAGGAAGCGAGGCGCTGATGCGGCTCCTGCCGAAACAAAAGACACCCAGAAGAACGGTGCAGATAGCGAAGCTAAATCATCGGAGGATAAGAAACCTGCAAGCAAGAAACGAAGCGCGACTGAAGACCCCGTCAAAAATGAATTCAACAAAAAGACAAAGGACATCCAGAAGACAACCACAAAGGCGATCAATGTCCCAATTGATGAGGGCTTCAAGGAATTTGGTAAAATCAAGGGTAAGTCTTCAATGCGACACCTAATGTCACAGACTAACACACATTGTCACAGATCCCAAGGTCTACATTGATAGTGCTGGTCTGATCTGGGATGCCACCTTGAGCCAGACCGTTTCGGCCAACAATGCCAACAAGTTCTATCGCATCCAGTTGTTGAGCGGTACAAACTCAAAGTACTTTACCTGGACACGCTGGGGTCGAGTTGGGGAGCATGGGCAGTCAGCCTGTCTCGGAGAGGGCAGTTTAGGAGCCGCGATGAAGCATTATGAAAAGAAGTTCAGAGACAAATCAGGCCTCAAATGGGAGGATCGGCTCGATACCCCTAAAAACGGAAAGTATACATTCCTTGAGCGCAACTATGAAGAGGACGATGAAGACGAAGAGCCGGCGAAAAAGGAAAAAACCATCAAGGAAGAAGAGGACCAGCCCGAGGTAGACAGTGCCTTATCCAAGGGACTTCAAAACCTCATGTCTTTCATCTTCAACAAACAAGATGTTCTCGACACGTTGGCTGCAATGTCCTATGACGTCCACAAACTACCACTTGGAAAGCTTAGCGACCGGACTTTGAAAAGCGGATTTTCGGTTCTCAAAGACATATCCGAACTGATGATCACACCAGGTTTGGCGCAAACAAAACATGGCGAATCATATGGTGCTGCCATAGAAACGTTGAGTAACCGATATTTTACCTTGATTCCTCACGTCTTTGGCCGCCATCGGCCCCCAACCCTAAACACAAATGCGCAGATCAAGAAGGAAATTGATTTGCTGGAGGCACTGACGGATATGGACGTTGCCAATGAAATCATGGTATCGTCCAAGCAAGGCGATGATATCCACGCGCTGGATCGCCAGTTCCAGAGCCTGAATATGAAGGAGATGACCGAACGTGAGTATAAATTGCGGAACGTACAATATGACACCAAACTGACCTCGCCCAGTGGACCACAAATCAACCGAGTTCGTCGAACTCGAGAACTACCTGAAGAACTCCCGCGGCAACACACACAACATGAGCTACAAGGTCGTGAACATCTTCCGCATCGAACGCCAAGGTGAACACGACCGCTTCAACAATTCCCCCTATGCCAGCATTCCAAACAGCGACCGCCGCCTCCTCTGGCATGGATCTCGCAGCACAAACTTCGGTGGTATCCTCAGCCAAGGATTGCGCATTGCGCCACCCGAAGCACCCGTCAACGGATACATGTTCGGCAAAGGTGTGTATTTAGCAGATACCTCGAGCAAATCCGCAAACTACTGTTGTCCCTACAACAGCCGGGGGATGGGGTTACTTCTTCTCTGCGATGCCGAGCTCGGTGCACCCATGCTGGAACTTGTAAGCGGCAACTACAACGCTGGCGAGGATGCACGCAACTCTGGCAAGATTGCCACGCTCGGCAAGGGCTCGAACGTTCCTGCTGGGTGGAAGGATGCTGGATGTTTGAGCCCGGCTTTGGAGGGTGTGAAGATGCCTGATACGGCTATTGGCAACACCCAGATAGCCGGTCATTGTGGCCTGCTCTACAATGAGTACATTGTGTATGATGTTGCGCAGATCCGACAGCGCTATTTGTTCCAGGTCAAGATGAACTGAGTGGTTTGCTTTAGCATTTTTTTGGAGTATTGGGTTAGTGATGGAGTTATTGAGCGGCTCGTTCTGTATGTGTTAGCTGTTTTGAGATTAGCTATGTACAAATAATCGAAGTGTGATGGCAAGCATAATGTTTACTAAGTATAAGACAAGACTGGCTGAATATTTATTTGGATGGGAAAGCACGTGGCCGAATGCGGTCACTTCCTTTTTTTGGTCAGCCGTTCCTGCGCTAAGCCGTATTTGGCAGAATGGTAGATCGAGCTAGCCTATTCGGGATGAAGATATGCGACTCCCATGATAGCAGGCTTAATAAGCAAAGTATCCAAGTGCACAAAAATTCCCACCATGCAAATTTCTGCGTGCACCCATTTTGTGCGGTCGGAGTCGGGTCTCAACGCCCAAGATTCGAAGAAATTGATTATTCATGGGGTGGGAATAGCTTCAATTCAATAATTTAACGGGTCTTGACGCCCAGCTGATGGCTTCAATTTACAGTACGTCGGATGCGGTCAGGCCATTCGGGTATAATCGGGCACCAAACCTGAAAAATCGGGCATTTACCCTTTGGCCGCTACGCCCCTTCGCATACTTCTACATCCTTCAATTCGAATCAACCTGCGCAAGCCCACGCCAAATGTCCTAAACATCTCGAACACAACTAACACAACCCACCGGAATGTATAGAAAGGCCCGAATCTGCGTAGTCGGCTCCCTAAACGTCGAATACGTAACAACAACCCCACGCTTCCCAAACCCCGGCGAAACCCTCACAGCAACCTCCTTAACGCTCTCAGCAGGCGGCAAAGGCGGAATCCAAGCCGCAGCCTGCGGCCGCGCCACAACAATCGATGATGTATACGTGAACATGATCGGCGCCGTCCGCACCGATGATCCACACTACGAACACCTCCTGCAGCCCTCACTCGAGGACTCCGGCGTCGATACAACATCCATCGAACAATTGAAGGATGTGCCGACGGGGTCGGCCAGCATTATCGTGGACGAAGCCAATGGCGGCGAGAAGCGGGTTCTCGTCGTGCCCGGCGCAAACCACGCCGGAATACTTACCTCTGCGGACAAAATTATCAAGACGATCCAGAGCTATCCGTCTCCAACCGATGTCGTCGTTTTGCAGGGCGAGATCCCGCGCGCCACGACGGTGGGCTTGCTGAAGTTTTACAATGATCCTGAGGGCAGGTGGGATTCTGGCGGGCGTGCGAAAGTGGTGTTTAACCCCTCGCCTGTGTATCCAAAGGGGATTCCGTATAAGGCGCTGCTGAATACTGCTGTGCTTATTATGAATGAGACGGAGCTTATGCAGATGAGTAGATGCAATAGGGAATGGGTTGTTGATGAATCTGATTCGGTGGAGCGCTTGGCGCGGAAGTTCCATCTGGAGTTTGGTGTTGGGATTGTGCTTGTTACGCTTGGGGCGAAGGGGGTTTATTACTCGGCTAGGATGGGTCGGGCTGGTGTTGTTCCTGGTGTTGAGGTTGACGAGGTTGTTGATACGACTGCCGCGGGGGATACGTTTGTGGGGTACTTCGCGAATTCTTTGGCACGCTTCTTGTCCACGGGACATGTATTGGAGGACTTCGATGACGTTATTGAGGACGCGGTTATCCTTGCGAATGATGCTGCTGCCTTGAGTGTGCAGGTGCGAGGTGGTATGCGGAGTGTTCCCTTTGCATGATCCTGGAAAAACCGTCTAGTAGAACCGCTTGCTGGGATCCATGTGTAAGCTCCTTGGTGGTATTGAGAAGACTTGCAACTAGTATCGGAATCTGTTTGCGGGGGGTCATTGCTCGTTGTCATATGATAGATGACTGCATTGGCATCCCTAATATATCCATGCTATATAGTCCAGCGCCTGCTCGTCTATAAATAAACACAGTAGCCCACTAGCAGAAATCCAGATCAGCACTATTTCCGCTTCTTCTGAGGTTGACGCTCTGCTTCCTCGTTTCTTCCGCCCTCATCTCCAGTCTACACATGCATGCGAGATGCGTTGACGTGAGCACCCGCGACTCCCTTGTAATGGTTTCAAACTGCGCCTTTTCATCAATCAAGGCGTTAGAGTTCCGTAGTCATCTTGTGAGTCATCTTGTGTGCATAGAAGTCAAATGCACGAGACTCGTTTAGACCGTATTTTGGTTGGTGGACGATATCTAAGCATGGCGTCGAATTGCCCACATGACTCCTAGTCATTCCGGTGCACACGAGACGTTGGGCAGTCTAAACTAGGCCTTAGCCTTTTTCACAACCTCGTAACCCCATAACAGTATCTGGAGATCGGATTGAATATTCTACGGTCTTTTTGAAGAGTAAGATTCCGAGGATTTGGGGCCAAGAGATAATGGCTCCATTCGTAACATTCCTTGTAGCAGCCTATTGTGTAGCATATATACATAGTCCTTTCTATAGGCATAAACCACAGCTAAGAATTAAACTCAGGTAGAATCAATAAATGAATCAATTGAAAGTCTCCTTTAAATGAACATGCTATAACCTCTTCCCGACGAGAAGTCTCCTTCAGAGACACTCCTTCCGAGACTCTGTGGTTCAAGACCGTTCCTTTTCATTCTCCTCTTCAAGGTCGAAGCATTGTAGATATGGTTTAATGTTGATTGCTGATTGAAGTGGTTATTAGGATGCAGGATCTTGAAGTGGATGATTGAAATCGTTCGAGGTATTTTCTTTCTTCTTTCTTTTCTGTTTTGTTTTTGTGTTTGATGTTGTTGCAAGCCTGCCAATTGTCCTGAAGCTGAAACCCGTCACAGGAAGGCTGAATGTGGATGCTTGAAGTAGATGATTCAAGTGGTTGATTCAAGTGGCTGTTTGAATGTGGATACTTGAAGTGGTTGCTTGAAGTGGCTGTTTGAATGTACATGATTCAAGTGGTTGATTCAAGTGGTTGATTCAAGTGGTTGATTCAAGTGGATGCTTGAAGTGGCTGTTTGAATGTGGTTGTTTGAAGTGGTTGCTTGAAGTGGTTGATTCAAGTGGCTGTTTGAATGTGGATGCTTGAAGTGGATGCTTGAAGTGGCTGTTTGAAGTGGTTGATTCAAGTGGTTGATTCAAGTGGATGCTTGAAGTGGCTGTTTGAATGTGGTTGTTTGAAGTGGTTGCTTGAAGTGGTTGATTCAAGTGGCTGTTTGAATGTGGATGCTTGAAGTGGATGCTTGAAGTGGCTGTTTGAATGTGGTTGTTTGAAGTGGTTGTTTGAATGTAGATGCTTGAAGTCGTTGTTTGAAATCGTTCGAGGTGTTTTATTTCTTCTTTTCTTCTCTTTTTCTTTTGTTTTGCTTTTGTGTTTGCTGTCGTAGCAAGCCTGTCAATTGTCATGAAGCCGAAACCGGTCACAGTAAGGCTGAATGTGGATGCTCGAAGTGGTTGATTGAATGTGGATTGTTGACTGAAGTAGAATTTGGATGTGGTTGATTGGATGTGGTTGATTGGATGTGGTTGATTGGGTGTGGTTGATTGGATGTGGTTGATTGGAATGGTTGATTGAACGTAGGATCTTGAAGTGGATGCTTGACATGGTTGTCTGAATGTAGGATCTTGAAGTGGTTGATTGAAATGATTCGACGTGTTTTCTTTTTTCTTTCTTTTTTCTTTCTTTTTCTTTTTCTTTTTTGCTTTTGCTTTTTTGTTTGCTGCCGTAGCAAGCCTTGTCCTGACGCCGAAGCCCGTCACAGTAAGGCTGAGTGTGGATACTTGAAATGGTTGATTGAATGTGGATGGTTGATTGGAATGGTTGATTGGAATGGTTGATTGGAATGGTTGATTGGAATGGTTGATTGAACGTAGGATCTTGAAGTGGATGCTTAAAGTGGTTCTTGGATGTCGATGGTTGATTGAATGTAGTTGGTTGATTGAAGGTGGATGGTTGGAATGGGATTTGGATGATTGATTGAAGTGGATTGAAGTAGAATTTGGAAGTGGATGTTTGAAAGTGGTTGATTGGATGTGGTTGATTGAATGTAGATGGTTGATTGAAGGTTGATTGAGTAGAGCTTGGATGTCGATGCTTGCTTGTCGAGGCGACCATTTTTTTTACCACCACAGCAAACGGTCTTGAGAGTCTCCTTTAATTGGGTACACGCTGTAACCTCTTCCCGACGAGAAGTCTCCTTCAGAGACACTCCTGCGGAGACTCTGTCGATCAAGACCGTTTCTTTTCATTCCTCCTCTTTCAGGTCGAAGCATTGTAGTAGTCGAATGTGGATGGTTGATTGAAGTGGAGCTTGGACGTGGATGGTTCATTGGACTGGAGTTTGGATATCGACGCTTGAATGTCGATGCTTGCTTGTTGAGGCGACCATTTTATTTTACCACCACAGCAAACGGTCTTGAGAGTTCTCCTTTAAATGGGTACACGCTGTAACCTCTTCCCGACGAGAAGTCTCCTTCAGAGACACTCCTGCGGAGACTCTGTCGATCAAGACCGTTTCTTTTCATTCCTCCTCTTCCAGGTCGAAGCATTGCAGTAGTAGAATGTGGATAGTTGATAGAAGTGGATGGTTGAGGTAGATGGTTGAGATGGTTGAGTGGATGGTTGGTTGAAGTGGATGGTTGGTTGAAGTGGATGGTTGGTTGAAGTGGATGGTTGGTTGAAGTGGATGGTTGGTTGAAGTGGGTGATTGAAGTGAGTGATTGAAGTGGAGCTTGCTTGAATGTTGATACTTGCTTGTCGAGGGGACCATGTTTTTTTACCACCACAGCAAACGGTCTTGAGAGTCTCCTTTAAATGGGTACACGCTGTAACCTCTTCCCGACGAGAAGTCTCCTTCAGAGACACTCCTGCGGAGACTCTGTCGATCAAGACCGTTTCTTTTCATTCCTCCTCTTTCAGGTCAAGCATTGTAGTAGTCGAATGTAGATGGTTGGTTGAAGTGGAATTTGGATGTGGATGATTGAATGTGGATGAATATAGGATATTGAAGTGGATGAAGTGGTTGAGTGGATGTGAGCACATATCTAGTACAGTCAGCCCCATGTCATCAGGTATTAACCAAGGTATAGAACACGATGATGGAAGATGAAGAATAGGTGATAGCACAGATAAGAAACAAACCTCATAAAGTGGAAGATGGACGATAGACGGTGGAAGGTGGAAGGTAGAAGGTGGTTGGGTTGTCTGAAGGATGAATGTAAGTATATGAAAAGAAAAAAGAGACAGCAAGAACATACAAATCTGTGATGGATAATGAACACAACACGACAGGTGCCAGGCACGTTGGAGGGATGCCCTATGATGTGGTTGAGTTGTCTGAAGAATGAATATAAGAATAGACAAGTCATGTGATGGATGATGGACACGATAGGTAGGCATGTTGGATGTGGTTAGGTTGATCCAAAATGATGAAGAGAGAGAGAAGAAGTAAGTTCAGAAGTGGGAATCGGCCTGTTTATATAGCTGGATTTACTGCAAACGATGCAAAACTCGAACGACTCGCTTAGCTCGAGTGCAAACAACCCTGGGAAGGAAAGAACAAACAAAAGAACAAAGGAAAGAGGCAAATAGCAAACACCTGGAAGGTATCAACGATCTATAGAGTCACGTGATGGATAATTATACAGATCGTGAGAACATGACAGGTACTAGGAGCTCACTGCCATACCAACTTCTCAAGCTCATAGCCCTCTAGTCTAGACACGGAGGGTTTAAATTATGGCATACAGCCTAAGAGCTAGGGGATAAGTGGATTCGAGGTATTCATAGAGAACGAGGAAAGAAACATGGAATACTCCATTTTGACTATAGGCAATAATTAATGGATGGGATGCCCGAGTGGCGGACTAAGGCCACCATCTCCAATAAAGCGGAACGAGGGTTTGTGTGGGTTTGGATACAAACCTGGTAGAATACCTGGATCGCCACATCTGACAGGAGAAAAGCGGCCCTCTGAAATAGAAATCGGTGGACTAGGCATAGAATTTGGCCTATGGCTTGTTGAAACCAGCTCTGCACACCGGTCTCGTCCCCAACGTGCACTGTCTGATCATAGCGACTGCATAACTAGGTATCTCTCCAACCTTATTTGTAGACCAGCATGGATACGCTTCAGAGAAATCCGAATCCTCTCACACAGGAAGAGGCTTCGTTGATGAGGGTTACTCATAAGAACAGCATGAAGGTATAAAATGGCACATTTGGTGATACGAAGTAAATTGAAACGTGTGCAAAAGACAAGCCAGATCAGATCTCTGGCTGGAAGCGTTGTATCGTACAGCACGAGCACAAGTCAATGCCTTTAGCTGGTTGTAGTCGTTGACAAGGATTACTGATTTCCCCTCGCTATACGGTTCAGCTGTCTCAACCAGGATCATATCTGAGCTCCGGTTTCAACCCTCTTGCTCCGGCCGCATAGCTAACAACTCGACGACAGACTTGGGATTTCTGCTGGAAGAAATTGGTATCTCGAGTTATTCGGTATTTTGGAAATCGCAAATCATAGTCGAAGAGCATCTCAGGTTTTATGAAGAGGAAATGATGTGATAGCGGATGCTCGAGCTCGGAGACCAGCGAATGCTTTTGACCTGTCGTTCTTGATCATTCCTCAGAGCGACACAATGTCGGTGTCTATATCCAGAAGTCACGGCCTCCGACCAGAGCTCCGTTAGAATGTGATCCGTGGTTAATGATGGGTGTGTGTGTAACTGTGTAAGCTCTGGGGAAGATGATGATGATTCATTGTATGTACTCGCGACTGGTCTCTGGCGTAGTGATGCAACTGATATGCTGTTTTGGTCGATTTTCGGAGTGTCCTATTCGTCGGCTTCGACATGGGTAATCCGACGAATGGCGTGCCGCGTGTGGATTATTGACGTACGGGTATTGGTGGGGATGTGGGAAGGTCTCCGTCACGTGCGTCGGGATAGACCCGAGGTCCACGTGACCGTACGGTCACAGTGTGTGCGTTCCAAGGTTGGGTTCCTTCTGGTCAAGGCTTCGGATAGGCTGTGGTTTTGGTGTGTCTTTCCTTTTGTTCGCTCCGGCCACCGATGTGGTAGTTCGCGCATTACTCACTCGAGGCCTGTACGCAGGCTAGGAAAGGACAGTTTCCACCGATACAACCATCGCGTCAACCTGGGCAGGAAGCTTCGCTTCTGAGGAATCAGGATTGTCATCTCTAGGCAAGACGAATATATATAGTTTCTCATCCATTTCTGAGTCATCCAATTCTCAGGTTCATTGTGCGGGCCTCATCATCCCATTGAGTTGGTCGTTGTGGGCCAGTGAGGTTAACGAATATGAATACACTATCACCGTAGCTGTCCGAAGCGATGCCGTATACAGACGTGCCAGAAGCCCCAGCCTTTTCTTTCAAACTGTGGTCCACCATGTAGGACATTGGAACATCCCCCCCCCTCGACCCTACCAAGTCTTTTGGCTTCTACCATATCCATATTAGTGGCTAGGTTCTGAGCCCCTCTGAACCAAGAGAATAGTCCACGAACCGTGATTTGTTCCTTTTTGAGAACCCACTCGCACTTGATCTCGGATTTGTATTACAAATGTAGGGAGTTGACGGAATTGATACTGGAGATAGACGCAGTAGATCCGATCAAACTGGGATTGTTGTACTCTCGCTTTAGCCGAGCAGAGTAGTGAGCATAATCGCATCGACTCTAGACTGGATTAACGCCTCGTTTTGGGCGAACCCTTCGTGGCTAGGTCATAAGAAGTGGAGAGGAGAAGAAAGGATAAAGGGAAGAGGATGAATACGAATGAAGTGAGAGCGATGATGAGTGAAATGAAAAGGAAGACAAGTGGAAAGGGAGGGAAGATGATGAGGCAGAGGCAGAGTTTTACTTCACTTTTGTCTGTTTGTGAAAGGTGTAAAACTGCAGCTGTTAGCGTACAAAGAGAGTATCACAGAAAGAGGATTTAAACAGGTCTGCAATAAGAGAAGTAACTTATACACTAAATGGGACACTGAGATCACACCACACAAGCCTCATTTGTGTAGAACCCACCCTAAAAAGTAGGCTCTCTGATGTCTCATATACTGAGCGAGGTGCGTCTATCCTATGGCAACGAGGAAATTGTTCTCAGGCTAGCTGCTGTTGAAGAACCTTGGGGCCCTTTTTTCCTTTTCCCTTTTGAGATCATTTGAAGCCATTCCCACCTTTGAACCCCATTCTTCACGAAATCTGCTTCTCGACCAAGACCTCGATACCTTCGCAAGGTACTGGAAATAAGGAAGAATTCAGGCATATTAAGGCATCAATCCTACAAAATCAGGCATTTGGCCACTGGCCGCTATACACCTTCGCATAGGTTGCAACGTATACCACCAATTTAATCTTGTGTGACCTTTTTTTCGCATGTTGCTTGCCGGTCCTTGGACTGCGGTTCGAACACTGTAGGGTCACAATCTCATCGGAGCAAATGAAGGGCACTAGACCGCGACCAAATTGGAACTATATCATTTGTACCAAACCCCTCAAGTTACACCCGAGATCTCCCCGAGTTCATACCTCAAGCTCTCTCGAGATACTTGAGTCCGCACAAAGTACCGGACTCAGTCGTGCGCGTAATAATCTTGCTCAGTTTTGCAACCTCACTATGATGGCTAAGTAACTTCCCCGCAATTTAAAGCGGCTGGAAAGTATTGGTCTAATTCCACTGAGGTTCGTTAATGACATCCAACCCTATGAGCATGCTAAATAGCCGGTAGGAAGCGGTTGTATCCAGCATCATAATAGACGTTTCTCAGGTACACAATGATATATTTTCTGAATTGTTCGATTTGTTGAAGGGGACCGACCTAAAGCCATGATATTTCTTGGTCAATTATATATCTCACCAAGTTTGTACGCGTACGAGAACACAAAGGTGGATTAACAAGACTTCTCAACTGCTATGAATGCACACTTTTCTGAGAAATTATACTAAAACAAAGCATTGAACATTGAATGGTGAATGTCGAGATATTCTATACCGTTGCTCAGGAATGATAATCAACAGCACCCATATCGATGTGTACCCACTAGGAAGCTCATGTCGTGATTACACGCTTTATTGATTTCTTTTCTTGAGAGGGAATCTGGACTCAGCGTAAAAGGAATCTAGATTCAGCGCAACTTTGCGGGAGAGCCCTTCGACCCATATAATATGAGTTGTCAAGAAAAATACTACAGAAACGATAACTCTAATACAAAATGACAACCAATGACGAGAAATGTAGAATAATACCACCAAAGCCTAGTCATCATTTCTCATGAGATACTCGGATAGACCTTGTTGCTTGCCACGCTAGCACTTTCCAACTTTTCCAGAAGAGTCTTAGCCAGCCGCTCGATACGAAGTTTAAAGAATATCTCTGGGTCATGATCGCCAAGGTCAAGCCCCAAGGGACCCACCACCTGCTGTAGGTGAGCAGATCGCGTACATTCAATCTTCCAGTCCCGTGCAAATTGCTGGATCATGGTGTAGAACTCCGGAGCCGTGACCTCTCCGTGGTCAATCCCAGCCTTTTGTACCTGATCAGCTGCTCCCTCTGGTGCATGGCGGCGCATCCGCTCGAGCAGGTCCCCAATCGATCGGGAGACATAAAGATCGGCGCTAGCGTGGACTACACCAGTCGTGCCTTGGGCAACATGAGCCAGACAAGTACGAGCCACGAGGTCGACTGGGATCTCATTGCAGGCTGCATGGAAAGGTAGTGTCTGCTCGAGCTTCAGAGGTCCATATTCCGCGTCTCCTAGGAGTATCTGCAGGAAGGAATGTACGGGTATGGCGCCATCGCTGCCGTAGAGCGGGTAGGGCTCCGCAATAGCTGGTGATATGAGACAGGGTCGCACAATGAGGATGGGGAATTTGTGGTCACCACCCAGAAGCAAACATTCAGCCAGGTGTTTGGCCAGTGCGTAGGGAGCCGCGAATTGTTTCGTATAAGAGGATTTTCCTGTGGCGAGAATCTTCTCTAGTTCCTTTGCCGGGTCTTCGTACAGGGGGTATATTTGCTCTTTGACCACGCCGTCAGGGAGAAAACTGGAGACATATGTAGTTGATATGTGGAGGAAACATTGCAGCTGAGTGAAACTGTCTAGTAGAGTAGCTAGCGTCAGATGAGCAGTGCAATTAACTGGTATAGTCTCTGCGAGATCTCGAGAGAGAGCAATGTCACCAGCAGTATTGATCACCACCGTGACCTCATTTTGTAAACGTGATAGGTTGGCGGGCGAGAGACCGAGGTTAGGCTGGGTCATGTCACCGAGGAAGAATTGGATCTTGCAAGTGGCGATAATCTCCTCCACTTGCTCTGGCATCGACTGCTCCCATGCTTCAATTGCCTTTTGGACAGATCCCCGCACCAGCACGAAGATCTTCGCGGTTGGAAGTTGAATGGCTAGCTTGTATAGCAGGCATCCACCGAGATTCCCAGTTGCCCCCGTGAGGAAGACGACCTGTCCTCGAAACCATTCGCTGTCCATCTTGGTCAAAATTCGGTTGCTACTAGATTAAAAATTATTAGTATCTTTACAACATGGAAGGTGTTGTACTAACGAATTTATCTAGGACAACCAGACAACGTACCTGGGTGGCCTGGATAGTTCTTAATCAGATGAGTGGATAGAAGTACTATTGGATTAGACTTATGCAAAATCTCACCAGCAATTACCAGTAATGATGTTTGTAAGCTACGGTATCTTGTAGAGTAGTGATACATCATTATCTTGCTTTTGGGCCTCGTTCCTCACACCCAGCTCCGGCATAGAATCATTCACTGCTGACCAGTTTTAAGGAAGTTTAAGTGTCTCATCCCTTAACAAAGCGTAAATATCCGGATTTGTGTCGAGCAAAATAAGATACTGTCCATGTCAGCACACAATAAAGTCGAAACAAATAGTCGAGACCGCCACAGCGCTTCTTAATTCCGAATAACGGATTGCGACGACATAATCGGCCTAGATCATTACCCCTTGAGGGTCATTGGGTTGTACTAAGCCGTGCCTAACAGTATATCTAGCACGGGGTACGTTTTGTGTGCCACATCAGACCCAATACCTAGATGAGGGTGGGTTACGGTGAACACCCGGAAGGTAGGAGATTGGGTTGGACATGCGGAGGGTTGTAAGCGATTTTGGGCCGAGCTTTCCTTCTGATTGTTCTAGCCTTTGTAACAATATATCTCAGCGAGGATGAACCACCACCTGGTGGCCAGACTGAGCTTTGCTCTCATGTAAGCTCAAGATCTCCGACAAGAACATCGCCTATAATGAGGCTGCTTGTTTGTTTCTTTAATGCGTAGCCTTGATATACTTACTTCAATATGGCAAGTGATATAGAGATAGAAGGTCGGTGACTAGTTGTGTTGCAGTCACATATGCGGGTCTAAGTTGGAGCAGCGTTGAACAAGGTTGAGAATGCCCTGTTTTCGGAGGGCAGATTGGAACTACCTGCCGGCTTTCTTTCTTTGCAGTGTCTGGCAATACGACCGAGTCGCCATCCAGGTACATATCATTCCTCCGGTGGCGGAGGATTTCGGAGGAAATGTGCTTCCTGCATCTTGCAGAAATGGATATGTAGGCACATATTGTGTAGATTTGGCCGAATCGCCAATATACTCGTGAAATTTATCGATCGTCAACAGGCCGTACCTTGTGATATCAAAGCTCCAACCCTAGTTCAACCTATGCTTTGTCTGCTATGCAGCCATCTTGATCCAGTCTCAAATTATTCATCATTCAACCAAAAATGAACTCAATAACTGGACAAGGACAAACATCATGCAGAAACCACGAGGAGGACTTTGGGGAGCCAATTGCTATCATTGGTATGGCAATGCGGCTACCAGGCGGTGTTCGATGTGGAGATGACTTTTGGGAAATGCTCGTGAATAAACGAGATGGCTTTTGTGAAGCGCCTCCCTCGCGCTGCTCTCGAGAGGCGTCTAGCAGCGTCGATTGTGGAGATCTGAGCGAAACGAAAAAGGGGTTCTTTTTGCAAGAAGATCCAGGTTGTTTTGACAATTCCTTCTTTTCTGTCCCTCCCCACGAGGCGGCGCGCCTGGACCCTCAGCAACGGCTCTTGCTGGAGGTGGTTTGGGAGTGCCTGGAGAACTCGGGGGAGACTAAGTGGCGCGGTGAGAAAATCGGTTGCTTTGTTGGCGTTTTTGGCGAAGATTGGCTAGAGATATCGCATAAAGATCCCCAGCATTTGACGCAGATATTTCCTATCGCAACCGGTGGTTATGCATTAGCAAACCAAGTGTCGTATCGATTTGATCTCCTAGGTCCGAGGTGAGTGCGATCCGCTGTCTTTATTTCAAAAATCTCTGACCCCTTGCAGCATGACCATCCAGACAGCTTGCTCTTCATCCCTGGTCTGCCTGCATGAGGCCTGTCAAGCACTCAGATCAGGAGAGTGCACAACAGCTCTGGTGGGCGGGACGAGCCTTATATGGAGCCCAACCATGACAGATGCCATGACCAAAAATATGGTTTTGTCACCAAGTGGTATCTCTCATACTTTTGATGCTGAGGCAGACGGCTACGGTCGTGGTGAAGGGATCAACTGCATATATCTCAAACCTTTACGCGACGCGCTTCGGGACAACGACGCGATCCGCGCCGTCATCCGCTCCACAGTGAGCAACCACGATGGCAAGACCCCTAACTTTTCTCAACCATGTCCAATATCTCAGGAAAGGTTGATTCGTCACGCGTATCGGATTGCGGGGATTGACGCGATACAGGAAACACCTGTTTTTGAATGTCATGGGACTGGAACAGCCGTCGGCGATGTCATCGAAGCATCAGTTGTTGCAAAGATGACCCAAGGAGAAGCGACATATATCAGTGCTGTCAGTATTCCCTATTTTCAGAACTGTCTACAGCCAAACTCCTTACTGATGTTGTACACCAGGTCAAACCAAATGTCGGCCACTCAGAGGGTGCCTCCGGCATCACTAGCATCATCAAATCAATTTTGTCACTTGAACACAAGACCATCGCACCCAATATCCATTTCAAAACACCGAATCCCCAAATTCCATTCACCGAGGCAAATCTCCATGTCCCCCTAGAACCAACTCCGTGGCCTGCTAGCAGGCCCGAAAGGATCAGCGTAAATTCGTTCGGTATTGGCGGATCCAATGCCCACGCTATTCTGGAGTCCGCCTCTTCGGTCTCTCCAAAGCCCCAACCCACATCGCTTGGACTTTGCAGCCCGCAGCTCCTGGTTCTGTCTGCGCATAATGCAGACACTCTTCGCAAGCGTATCAGCCAGACCACCGACTATGTAAAGAATCACTCAGACCGCCTGCATGATCTTTCGTTCACTTTGGCTGCGCGAAGATCACATCTTTCCCACCGGGCTTTCGCTGTGGTGCAGCCGAGTAATCCAGCGATAGATGATGCGGCATTTTCGATTTTTAACACCAGTTCCCCAAATGTCACCTTCGTGTTCACAGGTCAGGGTGCTCAATGGCCCGGGATGGGGCTAAAGCTCTTGTCTGAATTCCCAACATTCAAGGAAGATATCAAAAGAATGGATGAGGCACTGCAGCAGCTACCTGATCCCCCGAATTGGTTATTATATGGTCAGATTGAGGGTTCTACCCCTGAAGTTACGAGAATATTTTCACTAACGTACCTTCCAGATGAACTAAGCCAAGAGAGTTCAATTTCTCGAGTCCACGAAGCCGAGTTCTCTCAGCCTCTCTGTGTTGCGCTTCAAATTGGACTAGTAAATATTCTTCGGGGCTGGGGAATCGAGCCATCTAGAGTTGTCGGGCATTCAAGCGGAGAGATTGTGGCCGCATATGCTGCCAGAGCTATTTCTATGAGAAGTGCTATCGTTATAGCATACTATCGAGGCAAAGTCGCTAAACCGCTAGAAGGCTTAGGCGCTATGGTGGCCGTTGGCCTTTCCCCGGACGAAGTGGCACCGTACTTGACACCAGGAGTGGTTGTGGCCTGCCACAATAGTCCGCATAGTGTCACCCTGTCAGGGGATAAAGACTCGGTTGACGATGTGATCAAAAACATTAAGACGGCAAATTCAGATACACTCTGCCGGCGGCTTACAGTTAAAATCGCCTATCATTCTGGTAAAGCCCCCTTGTGCCCTACGCTTTTACCCTTGCGCTTACATTATTTGCAGACCAGATGAAACAGATTGGCTCTGAATATGAACATTGTATCTCTAGCCACATCGAATATGAGCAGGAAATGCTTCCTTTCTGTTCTAGTGTGACTGGCGACACTATCACCGACCCTCGCAAACTAGATGCATCATATTGGCGACAGAATCTGGAATCACCGGTATTGTTCACCGAGGCTATCCAAAGCCTACCTACTAGTGGAACCCCAGTCTTCCTAGAAGTCGGGCCGCATTCAGCCCTCGCCGCCCCTCTGCGACAAATCTTCCGGACTCTTGCAACGAAGTCACCAGTCTATATTCCCACCTTATTTAGGTATGACGAGGATGTCCAAAGACAGCTACTACGGACAGCGGGGCAGGCCTATGCGAACGGCGTAGGATTCAATCTGTCGAGCATAATTGAGCCCGGGAATACGCTGACAGATCTTCCACCTTATCCTTGGCAACATGATCGCTCCTACTGGAGTGAGAGTCGACTGAGTAGGGAGTGGAGGCATCGGAAGTTTCCGCATCATGAAATCCTCGGCTCGCGAGTCGTCGATACGACCGACCATGAGCCTTCTTGGCGTAATCTGGTCACGCTGGACGACGTGCCCTGGCTTTTGGATCACGTAATCCAAGGGGCCGTCACATTCCCTGGCGCTGGATTCGTCGCTATGGTAGGTGAGGCAGTCCAGCAGCTATATCCTGACAACGATAGTTATTCGGTGCGCAATGCGACATTTATAACGCCATTACTGTTCCACGAGGAAGACCAGATCGAGATCGTAACTAGCCTCAGTCCGGTCGAAGTGGCTGACAGGGTTCCATCCGGCTGGTACGGTTTCAAAATCATGGCCTATGACGGAGAAAGATGGACGATGCATTGTCAGGGTCAAGTAAGAGCCGGGTCCGATCATCCCCCAGAGCCATTCCCAATATCTTCCTATAAGCGAGCTTTGCTATCTGAAAGTGTGTACCGAGTACTTCAAAGGAGCGGTATAGATTACGGCCCTCAGTTCCAAGGCCTAGAGAAGATCACAGCCGATCCCACTGGACCGAGGGCGACTGCGACTATTCTGGGTAATCGCGGGCTGCCTGGGAGCAGGTATTCGCTGCATCCCACGGCGATTGATCAATGCCTCCAACTCATGGGTGTGGCCTGTTCTCAGGGCTTGTTGCGACACCTCACAACAATTTATGTTCCGGCTATGATAGATTCCTTGTTCGTCGGACCAGGTGGTCCACCTATGCCAGCAAGTGCCCGGACCAAGAGCGGTACAAGGGATGGCCAACTGGGCGATGTCGTTGCCATGCTTGACGATCGGGTGGTGCTCTCCATTCAAGGAGCTTATCTTTTTGCCTTGGAAAATGATAATATAGATTCTGAAACTGGACCCGCGGGCTCAGTAACCCATCTTGAGTGGAAATCGGACATTGATTTCTTGCAATCATCAGCACTTCTGTCTACGCCACACAATTATACATCACAGGCTATGAATATTAAAGCCTTGGGTCAGCTATCCGCGCTTTTTGTTCTGGAGACAGCGGAGCAAATTCGGGATGTCGACCCAACATTACCACATTTCGTAAAGTGGAAGAAATTCATCCTGGACGCAGCTTCTAATATCAAAACAAGTGGACAACAATCAATCTACCCAGATTCAGCTCAGTGGGCATTGCTAAGTTCGGCAGACAGACAGGAAATGACACGGAAAGTGTTAGCCGAAACCAAGTTTACCTTTGATGCTCCACTTGCAGATTGCATGCAGGTTGTCTTCGATAACTGCAAAGCATTTATATCTGGAGAAAGCAGCCCATTGGAGGTCCTCATGAAGGACAATCTGTTACACCAATTCCATGCTGCGCACACACAGTATGCCGGTTGGGAGCCGTTCCTACCGTTGCTCTGTCATTCCAACCCAGGCCTGCGAATACTTGAGATCGGTGCAGGTACCGGCTCTGCAACTGCCATGGCTCTAGAGCTTCTCAAATCCACGAGTGGGGAGCGCATGTATAGTCAGTATGTTTTTACTGATATCTCCTCTGGCTTTATGGCTGCAGCAACGGAGAGATTCGGTCATGAGCAGTGCATTGAATACACAGTTCTTGATATCACCCTAGATCCCCTCGAACAAGGGTTTGACCCTCATAGCTTTGACTTGATCATCGCTTCCAATGTGAGTCTTTGACTAGTATGCCTCAACACAACAACGTTGAACTCACATTCTCTACCAGGTTCTCCACGCTACCCCCAGTCTTCACTCCGCACTCACTCATGTGCATTGTCTTCTAAAGCCCACCGGTCGCTTCTTACTCCATGAGATTAGCCCGGGTATGTCAAATCCCTCCAGCTTAGATGACTAAACTGACTAGGATACAGAAATCTTAATTGCAAATTTCACCATGGTAGGTGCCAACTTTGCCTAATACTAATATCTGATTTTCTTACATATTTTGACAGGGTGTATTTACCGGCTGGTGGCTAGGGGAGGATGATGGTCGAGCAGAGCAACCGTACATCTCACCCGAGCGGTGGGATCGGGAGCTACGAGCAGCAGGTTTCACTGGAGCAGATGTAACAGCTTATGATCAAAAGCCGCCATATCATATATCTGCCAGCATGGTGTCACGGCCGGTAGACGATATATCCATTCCTCCAGATATCTGGTTGCTCACAGGAAATACCCCGTCCCAGTGGGCGAGTGATGTTGAATTGCTATTCCGCGACGAAGGCTACACCACTCACTGGACTACCTTGCACGAAGTCCCACCTAAAGGCAAATTCATCGTGTCTCTGCTAGATCTTGAAGGAGCTCCAATAGGTTCCCTGCCGAAGAATGACTATGAGGTATTCCAAAAATACATAGAGCAAGCGCAAGAATGCCGAATCCTGTGGATCACGCGGTCAACGTCCCACACCTGCCCGGATCCACTGTTTGGTTTCATCCATGGGCTCGCCCGCACTTTACGGGCGGAGCTGTTACTCGATCTCTCAATTTTGGAGGTTCCCACGTTGGATACAGCGGGCGCAAAAGCTGTAATTCAAGTTTGCGAGCAGATACAGAGATCCCGCGCGCACTCCCTTCCTTATCCAGAGTATGAGTTTGCATTGCATGAAGGCGAGATTAAGGTCGGCCGATACCACTGGACACCTCTCGTCGAGCAGCTCGCAAGTCCACCTCGATCAGATGCGTCCCGAAAGCTAACTCTCAGCACATACGGGCTGCTGGATACACTACATTGGGCCGAGAAAGAGCCATCCTATGAGTTGAATGAGGGGCAGGTTGAAGTTGAGATGGACTACGTCGGACTGAACTTCAAGGTAGGTTTTCTTCGCCCAAGATAACCTTGCATACCTTGCTGATCAATATATTCTAGGATATGATGGTTGCAATGGGATTTTTCGGAAACAAAGAAGATCTCGGCCTCGAAGGCAGTGGTATTGTGCTTCAAGTTGGACCTGATGTGACGGATATCAGGGTGGGAGACCGTGTCATCTTGATGCATTCTGGAGTTCTGGCCTCAAACGTTCTTGTGCCTCAAGAAGCTTGTATCAAGCTACCGCAGGGGTTGTCGATGGCAGATGCGGCCACGATGTTAACAGCCTATGTGACTGTTCTCTATTCACTACTTGAGATTGGTGCTTTGAAGAAGGGCCAGGCAAGTTACCATTGTACATCGGTTATTGATGGCAACTGACATAATAACAGTCCGTTCTCATCCACTCCGCATGTGGCGGGGTTGGGCTAGCTGCTCTGCAAGTATGCCGAGCTGTTGGTGCCGAGGTAAGCCAATCTCCCGTCATCGTTTTTGTTATGGGGAGCTAATAATAAGTCAATATAGATCTATGCCACGGTCGGCAACGATAAAAAGGTAGCCCATTTGATGGAGCATTTTGGTTTACCTCGAGAACGAATATTCAACTCTCGCAACACTTCCTTCCAGCCGGACCTGATGCGTGCCACCACTGGACGGGGAGTTGATGTAGTACTCAATTCTTTGTCGGGAAACTTACTGCACGCTTCGTGGGAATGTGTCGCAAAGTTCGGACGGATGGTTGAACTCGGGAAGCGGGACTTCATAAGTCACGGAATACTTAATATGAGCCTTTTCGAAGCCAACCGAGGATTTTTCGGCGTTGACCTTGCACAAGTTTGCAAGGAGACTCCAGAGATTCTCAAAAGGTTTGTTGCAGATGATATTTCAGCGAACAAAAGCTAACTAACCATCGCAGCACCCTGGCAACATTTTCAGATTGGTATCGCCAAGGGAAAATCGGACCTATCCATCCTGTCAAAGTCTTTGATGCGGTCGACATTGTCAGTGCATTTAGGTATATGCAGGCAGGCACTCACTTAGGTAAGATCTTGGTGCGTATGCCATCCTCCGTGGACAGTTTGCCTCCTCCTGTCGTTAAAAGATTCCCGACATTCCGATCAGACGCCGCTTATCTTCTCATTGGCGGGCTTGGTGGTGTTGGGCGATCCGTATCAACATGGATAGTCGAGCAGGGTGCGCGAGAGCTCATCTTCCTCTCGCGGTCAGCTGGCAAATCTGAGGAGGATCAAGCATTTATTGGGGAACTTGAGGCGCAAGGTTGTCATGTTAGCTGTGTGCCAGGCAATGTGACCGATCTTGAAGCTGTGAAGGGAGCTGTTGCCACGTGCACGCGGCCCCTTGCTGGTGTTCTCCAAATGGCAGTTGACTTAAAGGTAACGCTTTTTTCTCCCTTTCTCTCTCCAATGCCAAACCTAACATAGCATCTAGGATCGGCTCTTCCTGCAGATGAGCCACGAGGGGTGGGAGGCCGCGTTGGCTCCGAAAGTCACTGGAACATGGAACCTTCATCATGCCACATTGCAGCACTCACTTGATTTTTTCGTCGTGTTTGGCTCAATTGCCGGGGTATGTGGTAACACCGGCCAGGCCAATTATGCAGCAGCAACTACATTTTTGGAAGCATTCACCCGGTATCGACGACAGCAGGGACTCCCTTCTTCTATTTTCCACCTCGGTGTGGTTGGAGATGTAGGTGCCGCAAGTCGGAGCTCCCGGTTCCTCCAGAGAGTACAATCAATCGCGCTGCATGTGCTCCATGAAGCTGAAGTGATTGATGGACTCGCCGCAGCGATCAATATATCCCCAGTCAGTGATTCTAACGCGAGTGGGGCGATTGCAATGGGACTTGCGCACACGAGGCGCCGCGGTGATGTCCCCAAGGAAATATTCCTCGGTGGACGCGACGCTCGTTTTTTGATTTATCCCAACCTCGAGTCTACCAGTGCTGGCAGTGGTGGGGATCAATCCTCTCATGCAAATGCGTTAAAGGCCCTCCTTGCCCAGATACAAGCTGATCCCTCGCTGACGGGAAAGAGAGAGACCGAGGTTGCCTTGATGAAGGAACTGGGCAAATTTATCAGCCATAATCTTACAGGGCAGACGCAGGATCAGGGACCAGATTCTGCAGATGACATTGAGGCAATGGCGGGCATGGCAGTTGACTCCCTCATGGCTATAGAGGTTAGGAATTGGCTACGAAGGTCTCTGGGTGTGGAGATTCCTACAGTGGAAATCAACCGAGCAGGTACATTAGGTGGCTTGGTGAAGGTCGTTTTGAAGGGACTTGGGGAGAAATATGATCAGCGTGCTACCTAAGAAGCTGCTGCGGGCCAGTTGCTATTAGATAGCTAGACAGAATTCTTGATGTGCAACCTTGCAACATTTTTCAGTTGGTTTCTTGGTCGCATCACACCTCCATAAGTGTTTTTAGTCTTAGGCTTTAATGCCTGAATTTACCGCTTTTCGGCATCTATTTATAGTAACTATGCCGGCACGGAATAACCAGGTCCGATGACCCTATGAAAATGAAGCTTTTAGCACCATACAAATTCATGTATCACTAGGGTGGTTTAAATGAAGACTTTAGTTGGCGCCAAACAAATCTACAAATCCTCATTTTTCCAGGTGGTATATAGGCTCTCTCTGTCGTGCAGAAATAATTAAGACGATAGAAAAAGGGCTGTGTTAATCTTTAGGCAAGATTTAAATGAACATAGAGTAAATCACCTGGAAAAATAGAGATACCTGAATTTGTATGGTGCTAAAAGCTTCATTTTACCTGCGGCTCGCAGATTATTGAGGTCTCTGTAATAGTAATCTCTTCTTTGTTTGGAATGTTTTGTAACCGAACAATTGTCAGCGAGAGCGAAAGCTTTATCAGAACCCCGGAGAGAAGAGACAGAGCACTACTAACATATATATTTGGTATCGAATCAAGACCTTAACTAGGCAAAAGAAAATGAAAATGAAGAACATCAACTATACTATCCAGTCTTGCACAAACAGGGTAATCAGGTCAGACGCAACAAGTTCTCTTGGTCTTTCTGAGCCCTCCTTCCTTCCTTCGCAGGGAAATAACTTGCTAACATTGACCAAACAACATCACGACCTGAGCACAATACGTATGTTATCAATTCTCTGGGCTATTGAGCTTTTTTTTGGTCAATCCTTTCGAGTTAACCAGTGTCTGCTTCATACTATTTCCCAGTGAGATTCTAGTAGAGATGAATCCCTCTTGGGCGGAATGTCTCTGCCCGATCATAACCACCTGTCTGAGTGACTCTCTCGCCTGCATGATCTTCCGAGCTGTCCACAAGGTATTTCGAGTTGAGGCTGACACTCTCGTAGGTTAGGGCGCGCTTTGCTGACTGGTTTCTCTGCTGTCTCAGATAATTCCGTCTCGCCAAAATATCCGAAGAGCTCTGCTGCTTTCTGAGCTTGCTCATCTGCGCTCCAAGCCATTCTGAAAGCACTTGCTCAGAGTGAGCTTCTTGCATTCCTCTCTCTTTCGCCGGGGAGATATACTCGCTCAGCTTCATGGCCTTTTCTGTCTGCCTATCTGCTGCATATGCCCCAGTGAGAAATATTTGAGTTCTCAGCCCAGAGGGATGTTCTTCACAATAGCGGGTTTGGTCCCATTTGTCTTTTTCCTTCAGTAATTCCATGGCCTTTTCCCCCCTGCCATCATCTGTGAGGCAGGACACAACTTTTGAGATGAGCTCATACCGTTCGTGTATATCTCGACCCTCTGTCTTTCGAAGAAGCTCAAGAGCATGAGGTACGTACTGCCCTCCTCGTATGTTCATTGATCTGGCCCCGCGGTGAGAATGTCTTGACCATACGCTGCGTGACCTTCCTGGTCGTCTCTAACGCTTCGCCTTTTTGGTCAATCCACCATAGCGTTGCGAGCTGGACTATATCGTGAATTTCAAGCGTGACTCCACCTGTCCCTCTGGTCACCAATGCATATTCACATAGCGTATTGATTGCGGATTCAGTTTGCGCTTCCGATTTGTACAAAGGCAGGAGAGACCGTGGAATGGCTTTCGGCGCAATGCAAGACATGAACTGCAGTATATCAGCGGCGATAGGATCTGACCTTTTGATCTTTTCAAATGATATACGCCATGTTTGAGCAATAGCATTCTGCAGCTGCGGGTAGCGAGTGTCATCATGAAAATGACTACTCGCGGGGGTTTTTTTGTCTTCGTCTATACCATGCATAAGCTCGAGATAACGTGAAATTGATATATTGGTGGAATCAATGTAGGAAGCTGCCTGTTTGATAGCCAAAGGCAGCCAGCTGAGCTCTTCGAGTAGCTTTTCTGTCATCTTTCGATCGTGGATGAGAGTATTTGCCACGAGTTTTTCGAAGAAAGCAATCGCTTCATTTGCTTTCATTGGCAAGAGTTGGATTGTATCTCTCTGTGACGTGAAACATTGCGCCACCCGACTGAACCGGGTGGTAAGCAAGATAACGCCGGTGTCACTGGCGGGAAAGTGTTTGCAAAGCCGACCTCGCACAGCGTCGCTTCCAAATAACATGTCGTAATCGTCTGCATTCTCCACAATGAAGAGCCACGGCCCAGCTTCCTTGGAGCGAAGATACCGACGAACCATCTCCATATCGTTTTCATCTTGCTTTACTCTCTGGATACCAATGTCCCTCACAATACCCGTACACGCTTGCTCAAAGCTGGCTTCGCTGAATGCCGGGATCCAAAATATCGAATACTGTGGCATGTTGTTCTTTACCCAATAGGCAAAGTGCAAGGCAACCTGAGTTTTGCCAATGCCTCCCAGTCCGTATAAGGCCACTTTACGGGCAGTCTTTTGAAGAAAGAGCCTTTCTTGCAGCCTGCCCAGTACAATCTCACGTCCAGTGAAGTCTTCATTTGCAACAAAGGGGATCATATGGTAGGCCTTTGGCTTGCCTAGAACCGCGTCAACTTTTTGAACAGGGTCGACTATTAGAATCTTCGTAAACTGAGGTTCATTCAGCTCATTTTGTTGACTCCTTGCCCCAAACGTCTTCACATATTTCTCGATATCCTTGGACTTCTCGGAGAGATAAATGGTTGTGTATGCAGATATCCTGCTAGCCTGCTTCCAATCTGACAAAGAGATATCCCCAAGGCCATGTTGCACATTGAATCGAAAATACTGGCCGCTGTCGCCATGGTAGTCTTCCATGTTGGTGTTTACCCTGTTGGGGGACGTAGTCATCCTCTTCAGTGCACCAATGATTGACAGGCGCCCATTTTTTATGCCGACCACATCTCCAATGCCGGTTCCGATACTCAGAGTCTGCATATCGCTACGTCCAAGGAACACCTTCTTAGCTTCTGCAATAAGCTGTTCGCATGGGTTGTTATAGCCGAATCCTGCATCAATGTACTCGATGTTGTCTCGACCAAGTCTAATTGACTTGAAGAGCGTGGATGCAGCTGAGGTAGCGCGGGCCACTTCCCAAATAGCACAGCCATCAAGCGCAGTGGATTTGTCGTATGTGCGAAAGAGCGTAGGTCCCGCGTCAATATTCACTTTCGTAACCGCAAGAACAACCCTACTATTTGTCAATACTAATTTAATCTCTGCAGTAAATAGCTACATACGTTTTGGTGCATGTCTGCTCACGGAACGGTAGATCAGAGTGTTGACAGTCAGTTATAGAGAGACCATTGCGCCGACGTTCCACACATTCTTTGTCTGTGCAGAACTCCCGAACGACCTGTTTGATAGCCTCCTGCAGTGCGCGCGCAGAGAAAGCTCCCCTGGGCCGTGCTGGAATAATGGCATGTGCCTTGCGAGTAAAAGCACGCTCCGCGACCTTTCGGTATGCTCGAATGCATTCATCCACGGTCATTCCCAGCCGACCCAGCATAATAGCGATGATCCTTATAGTATATTAGTACATTAACCCTGTATGTATCACGCACAGACATACCCTCCAGTGCTTGTACCCCCGATCAAGTCGAAATGGTCACACGGGCGTGGGGTATAATCAAGATGATGAACATCGCGGATCCTTTCCATGATCCTTTCTAGGATCAGTAGACTCGAGATTCCCCGAATCCCACCACCATCTGAGGCGTATTAGTAACCCTCATTTCCTATGCAAGGGGAATAAAAAAACCAACCAAGCGAGAGGATTCTGAGTGGCCCCGAAGCCCTTGGACGCATTTCGAGTCCCATGTCTGCTGATAGTCTTACTGAATACGTGATTGGACTGATGTCCCGTGAGTAATAGTAGACTTGTTAAGAAAATAATCCTAGAGTAATAATACGTCTGTTAAGAAAAGAAGGCACCTTATTATAGAGCAGAAGGTGATCGACAGCTAAGCGCCAGCTAAATCCGCCCCGCAATGAAACCACTGAAACCCTGCCACCCAGATGAAAAGCACCAATTAACATGTTGACGCTGCAGACTAACTGCTTGAGGTTGACACAGTCTTATTATTAGGCCGTGGATAATTCTATGGGTTCCAAGCTTAGCAGTGCAAGGCGGTTCAGTAAAGTACCATACCTTTGCAAACGATACTTTGAGGCTCAACCATATTTTTACAATTCAATCAGTAGAGTTTAAATAAACAGTTAATTACAGAAAGAATGATAGAGAATTTCGCATTAAGATTCTAGGTATCGAGCATTCAGATATCAAGAATTCATATGGTAAGAATTCAAGCATATCGAGGATTAGACTTGAATGTCCGACTTATTTATAGAAGTATTCAGGGGTATAAAATACGTATACTATTACATACTATATATTACTGCAGGCAAAACCTGATATGGCACACTGGCGGTTAGAGAAGCTGCCGTTCATTACCTTATGAGATAATTGGATGGAGGGAGTAAACTATGAAGCATACAGCGCATTCTACCACTGAGTCATAAGAAAAACAAACGTACATGTCTGTTATGGTCGGTATCTGATGTATCAAGGCATGCTTTGAGGCTGACAGTCTTCATGCAGATTGAGAGGCTTCTCTTTATCCCTTTGTGGCTTTCAGGTCTGTTGTTGAATAGGATTGGAACTTGCCATTTTGCAGGAAAGGAACAGATGTGATAGGAGACTTCTAGGGCTAAAGAGATGAAGTACTCCGTACTCCGTACGGAGTAACTGCCTGACAATTAGGGCAGAACCCTAGGCACCAGCGTGCCAAGACTTCAACCCTCCATCTTCATTTCCAACACGGCCTTTGCTTGATTGCTGTCTCCATGAGGCTAGTCACAGAGCTTCATGGCAGTACGAGTTAGACCCAACATCAATGTAAGATATAGTTATCCATTATCAGTATCTATCTTACATTTGTTGACCACACCTAGATACCTACATCATTGCCGGTGGGACCTACCGACCTTCTTACCTACCTCCTACCTCCTACCCAAGATCCTCTTATAATCTTCGCCTCTTTCTATCTTCTCTTATGACAAAGTCTGTCCTACTACCACAGAAAGTCTCCGATTTTCTCTTCCATTTTACGAAGAAAAACTTCATCTCTCAGTCCATCTGATAAACATGAGACTACCAACTCATGCGATAGATCCAGACGGTGAAGTGATCATAGTATTGCGTAATGCAAACTCTCCTTTTGCACAAGCGCCTGGAATTACGACACCTGGTATGACCCTCTCGGAATCCAGTCATTGTTTCAAGAGTCCTGCTGAAGTGATCAAAATCTCAGTAACCTATCCAGGGAAGCCGACAAATAATGATCCTGCTACCGAAGCACAAGCCTGTGAACTCTCCATTCAAGTCTCTGCGAAGCATTTAATATTTGCATCCTCGGTGTTCAAAAGCATCCTCACCGGGGCTTGGAAGGAAAGCATTACTTATATGGAAAAAGGCTCAGTTGAAATTACTGCAGAGAGCTGGGACTTCGAAGCATTACTGATAGTACTCAATGCTATTCATGGTAAATACCACCAGATACCGCAAAATCTGACCCTTGAGATGCTCGCCAAAGTCGCTGTCATTGTGGATTACTATGATTGCAAGGAAACTGTGTATATCATGAAGGACATATGGATCGGTAATCTGAAGGAAAAGATCCCTACAACATATTCTCGGGATTTGATTTTGTGGTTATGGGTTTCTTGGTTTTTCCAACTCCCCTCCCAGTTCAAAGAGACGACATCCACTGTTATGTCATGCAGTGGAAATTTGATTGATAGTTGGGGGCTTCCGATCTCTGATAAGGTCATCGGTAAGGTCTGACAAATTCTGAAGCTGCTTCCTATCTAATGAAATCGCAGGATTAATGAACAAACTGAGACAGGAGGCTATCGATCCCTGGATTGTCCGACTTTATGAAACTCACGATGCCCTCCTGAATGGCCGTCAGGGCTGTTGCTTTGAGTGCACGTCAATTATGTATGGAGCTCTTGCTACACAGATGCGCTCAGGTATGTTTCTTTGGAGGCCTGTGGCTCCTTTTCCCTACCTCAATCACAGAAATCTCATACGGACGATATTGGCGTTTAAATCACCAGGCTGGGGTTCCTCGGAGAGACGTTATGGGGCCAGCTACAACATCCACAAATGTGCCAACTCATCCTTCGAGTCCCTATCCGCGAACTTGAAAACCTCCATTGAAGGGTTGGACTTGAATAGCCTTGATTCCTTATAAATGAGGATGAATCTAGCTTCTCAATTCAAGAAGAGGTTTGAACCGTCAAACTTGCGATAAAAATGATGCTGTTTTGTGCCTAAGTAATATCAAATCCCGGTTATCACGTTAGACATGGGCAACATGGAGAGGTATAAAGAGTCCATTTATCTTGTCATAATAGTCTAGGTGGGACATATGAAAGAATCCCTAGAGATCATGGAGGTAAGCAGTAGTCCCTATGATTCTAAACTTGGCCCTTCCAATACCTACGAATGAAAGCCATCCCAATACTCGTCATTGTTACACTCATACATGTGGACTCGGGGTTTTTCTCAGCAGTAGATAGATTGATCAGCACATGTATTATATGTATTATTACTACTACTCCGTACTGCGGAGGCTTACTCAGTGCAACCAGATGAGAATAGACAATAGTCCGAAAATCAGGGCCTGTGGCCACTATCTCCAACAACTAATATCCCTCTTTCACCAAGTACTAGCATAGTTAATGATTGGGGATTGGTATATCGACCACCCTTCCGTGATTCGACCCCCCCTTCTGCCTGGATTTTCCGTACCGCCTTCTAGATTGGGTGCGATCATGGATTTTGCCATAATTTCTGTCGCTATACTCCGTAGAGTTTTCTGCCATAATTTCTGCCCACTTCTGGTTTACAAAGTAAAAATACTTTCATTTTAATCAGAAAGGATCCTATATTCTACCTGGTTCGTGTAGGATATAACCCCTTGAATATGAAGCAGTTTATATGACAAAAGTAACTTAATTTTGTTAGAGGTTTACATACAAATTGCAGGTATCTACTCCACGGAAGCGGTGTATATAATCAAGAAGGCGGTGTGCAGCGCGGAGGAGGGTAGTTACCCGGTTAGGAAGTTACGCCTGAACTTTCAAGCAGGAGGGGGGGTCGAATTACGAAAGACCAAATTATTTATCCTACTTATGAAAAAGAAAATAGAAAAATCAAACTCATCATAAAACCAGCCCACCTTGGGTATCATTTATCTCGAAACTAAGTTATACCAATTAAAACCAATCTATATCCAATATCACAGTTCACAATCTTACAATTCACACCTTTATCACCAAAGACACACACCGTCTTTAGATCTGACCCCATTCCAGTTTAAGCCCATTTTCCAAGCAGAGCCATGATACCAGCGCCAAGGAGCATAGACATCACCATGAAAGTCAAACGCTTGTTGTCCTGGGTGCGGTGAGGGTCGAACAAGAAGTCACGAGCAAGCAGCTCAACGAGACCAGTGTACACCAAGATTCCAGCGGAGATGGCATCCAGCACACCGGAGACAACGTTGGCAGTGTAAGAACCAGGGTTGTAAGTCGTCCGGACACCAAGACCAATAGCGATGGAAATGGGAGTCGTGAGACCATAAGCAGTACACAAGAACCAAGGCAGCCAGCTCCCCTTCTTGAATGGGATACTGGACATGCGGGCTCCAATACCGAGACCTTCGAAGGACTGGTGGAAGACCAGAACAGGGTAAAGCGTAGCAAACTCGTCACCGGCAACACCGAGGTTCAGGCCGATAATGACGGAGTGGAAGATAACACCGAACTCCAGAATCAGCAGCGCGGCAATTTGCTGTCTGACCGAGCGCTCGATCGCCGCCTCCTCGGACTGCGACTCAACCTCCTTGGCTTGCTTGTCATCTGCGTGGCGTCCTGAAACACGCGAGTCCACACGGCGCACCTCGCCTCCAGTCGACATCATGGGCTCGGGGTCTTCACGGCAGATACCGTACTTGACCTCGACGTAGCGCTCGGCACCGAAGTCCATGAGGAAGACCATCATCATGGATGTCAATACGATTGCAGGACACCATGAGTAGTCGGCCCAGTGGCCGGTCATACCGACGCAGGAGGCGGGACCGATTTCGTCGTAGGCGGGATCGAGGAGATGGATAAAGGCTGTTGCGACAATTACACCAGCACCGAAGTACCTTGCGAAGAGATAGACGTAGACTGGGATGCGCAGGCGTGGTACACGTTGTGCGACCACGGGGAAGAAAGTTGCTGCCGAAGAGATGAACATGATGACGAAGAGGGCGGAGATTCGCGCGCCTAGCTGGCCGTTGTATTCATTGCCTTCGGAGTTAAGGTAACACACGATGTCAGTCGGGTCGGCTGTGTCCAGGTCGACATTGTGAGGATCGAAGGACATTTTGGGCGGTTATGTTGGTAAATCGTGCCCTAACGTTCAAAGAAAGAGGCCGATATAATAAGATCGTATAAGAGGGAAATTCACACGGCGATCTTGGCTACAGGTATGGCAGGAATTGCTTGACTGTTTTATATTGGAGAAAATTTTCTAGGCCTCTTCGGGTCCTCCGTTGAAGTGAGGACCTTGGGGCGTCTCGGCCCCAGTTATATTAGTCTGATGCTTACCTTGTATTGTCCGTCCCAGGTTGCATTACTCGCTTATTCAGGTTGCCTTGGACTTTTTAATGTTATTACAATATCTAATTAATGTAAATGTTTCTGATCTGCGTTGTTGTTGTTGTTGTTGTTGTGCTGAGAACTTAGGGCTTCCATGCCCCTTGAGATATCAAATGCCCAGACGGGAACAACCACCAGCCCTACGGACGTTTTTTGAAAACCAAGGCTCGGCCAATTGCTTGTCGAATCTTGGGACGATGCAAGCCTTTCACGCAAGTCTTGCTGGTGGGCCAAATCCCGTCGTAGTGATTGGGTGTTAGCGCCACGAGTTTCCCCCAAGGTCCTTGAACTAAGATTACGCGAGGTCAAACCCTGCCATCACGGGTTTTTCATCGAGGAGATATGACTTAAACGGGCAGGTGGTGCGCAGTAGCTTGAACTTACATGTCCATTTCATCGTCCCATGTGTACTGAGTATGTTTAGAGATGTGGATAGTTCGTAATATAAACATGATCTGATCCGCTCTGCAGAGATACTCCGTCGTCAAGCGCGGTAACAGTGCTGAATCGGCTAGAACCGAGCCAATAATGGATTGAGCAAAGGAATTTACATCGTAAGAGCGGTTCGTGTCGCGTAGTGAAGATATCACATTGTCATGGCTTCATCGCATTCGTTAGCCTTGTCGCCACCCATTGGTGGGCTCAGCACAAAATCACTCAGACTAAGACAACCCTGCGAGTTAAATCCGGACTCTAGACTGAAACTCGCAAGGTCTGAGAGCACTAGGAGAAAATATTTGTAAACATGAAAAAGTAAGTTCATCGAACCTGAAAGCAGGAGGCCATCCCCATCCATTTCGACTCATAATGCCTAACACTGCCCTAGCCAGAGCGCTAATAGTAACATAAAACATAAAAAGATCATAAAACAAATCATAAAAAGCGGAGTTGAATGCAAGATATGCAAGGTTTCTTCATAACTCATCTCGTTTCTCGTATCCCATACCCAAGATCTCCCAGGCTGCAGAGAGGATCCGAGGTCTGTATACATAAACACATAATTTAGGTTTTCACCTTGTCGTATAATATAGTCTCCTCCCATCGATCAAAACAAGAAACAAAACACGCTCCGAAGCCAATCGCTGAAATCATCACACGCTACCTGTGCCCGAGTGAACCTGACTCTGGGACCGAACTCAAAAAAAAAAGACAGTGAAAAAGATACAAAAAACAGTAAAGTGTTGCGTGATCTATCGTTGCACGCTAGTATTTCAAGGCCATCGCTGGCACGTATTTTTCAAGAAGAAAAAAGGATGTCAAAATAAAAGGGGCAGATCAAGCAACAATTCCCAGCAGGAATTGCAAGAAATGCAAGAAAGGTAGAAGAAAAAAGTGACAAGAAATATGGTCTTGTTGGGATCACGGGACTGACCCGGAAATCAGGAGTGGAAAATACCCTCCTCCTTGACGGGGTTATCATAACCGTGACCTTGGACCATACGACGGAAGTCCCGCACAACCTTTTCAGGCACGCGGTCCCACATCAATGATCTAGAATACACATTCGACGACAATGCGGAATGAATACGACTCTGCTGCGCGGCGGTATCCCGCATCGCAGCAAACGCCTGCTGCAGGGTAGATGGCTGCTGGGGCTTGAAGTTTCCGTTGTCATTCTCAAACGTTGTCAGGGAGTTGTAATGGTCAGCGTTCATCGAGAACACCTGATCGCGCTGTTGCTGCTCTGTCGGCATGACGAGCGTGTTATGCAACTGGTCGAGACTTGAGGACACGGGTTGCGCAGAGCTCATCTGCGCCATCTCCATGCCACTGATAGTTGCCGGCGCGGGTCCGGTTGCTGTTCCATGGTTGGAATGAGAGTTGGTTAGCTCATGGCCAGATGACGAGGCTAACACTGCTTTCAGCACATTGGCTGACTCCGCCCGGTACTCCTCGGAGAGTTGGGGCAAGGAGTTTCCCGGGAGGGACGTATTGTTTGAGGCGAAGAAGGCACCGACAAGCAGGAACATGTAGAAGGCGTTCCAGCTGATCGGCAGGTCTGATCCATTGTTGGATTTCTCCGGGACCTTGACCTGAGCATGGGGAGTTTGGACACAGTCTGATTGCAGGAGGGGTCCCGTGACCGTCGAGAAGTCATCCCATGAGTGGTTTTCCATGGTCGGGTTCTCGAAGCCGGTGAATTCACCGGTCATGATTTCTTGGACGGGCTTGACGCTGCGCTCCAGCTGTTTGTTTCTCTCCTCCAGCATGTTGTTCCTCTTCAACAGGTTGGCGGTCTCCCGCGTGTGCCTGAGAATAGTTTCATCTTTCTCCATGTCCTGGCGTTGGATGTGCTCGGTCAACTGCCTGTTGTAGGCAGTCAATTGGTGATTCTCGTAATCCTGGTTCTTCATTGCGCTTTGCATGTTCTGGATTTTCTCCTCCAGTTGCGCGAGCTTTTTAGCCTGTTCCGCGATAATTTCGTCCTTCACCTTGAGCTTCTCGATATTACCCTCGGCTTCCTTCTTCTTGCGTTGACGGGATTGCAGGCTATTGTGATAAGGTTAACATGTGATCCAGCTCAACGCATCAATCTCAACTTACGCTGCATCACGATTCCGCAGCAGTCGTTTGATCGACTTGAGGTCCTTCTTCTTCTCCTCGTCCACGCAGTTCCGGATCGCCTCGTCGATGTTGGCCAAGGTGAGTTCGGCGGAGATTTCAATGCGGGAATTCCTCTTCCGAATCCCATCTCCCCGCCGCAACGGTATGGCCATCCGGTAATTCGGGCTCTTTCTCGCTTGCAACTCCGCCTCGGCCAGATCCATTGGGGCTGGCATCCAGCCCTGGCTGGATTGCGGTGACATGACGACGCTGCCAGAAGCCGCAAATGGCATACCTCCACGGTACGACATGGGGTTCATGGGCATCGTGCAAACGGGTCCAACCGCACCACCGGAGAAAGGACCGACGGCACTCTGGTCTCCATTGGAAGCATACTGATCATAGCCCACGGTCGGGGTACATGAGCCTGAATCCGTACGCGGCATAGGCCACGCTGCCTGCGAGCAACTTTGCTGGTAGGAAGATGGTTGCGGGCCGTCAATTGGCATGAACGAGGCACCCGAGTTCATCATGGTATGCCCGAGTTGCGAATGCGAATTGGAATTGGAATTTGACTGAGACTGGCTGCTGGTATTTGAGTAATTGGACCAGACGGAATCCCGATGTGAGTAGGCATCTGGGGCATCGTAGGAGGTGCGGCGGTTGTCGGGGTGGTCTTCGGAATTTGGATCAAGGATCCTGTCATCCAACACGCTCATCTCGTCGTCTTCCGGGGTCACGTCTAACGTTGATGGTGATTGTTGGTAGAATTCAGACTGGAAATATTGTGCCATCATGAAGAGGCGGTGTGTGTGAGAAACGGTGGGGTGGGGCTGGGGAAGATGCTGGTTTATAGAGAAATTGGTATAGAGGCAAACCACCCAAGAGAGAAGATAATAGTCCGGAATAAATATGAAGATGACATATAATAGTAAAGAGGGGGGAAATATGCTGTGATCTAGTCCCGGGGGGAGGCAGGATATGTATGAGTCGATGCAGCAGTGCTCGTGCGGTCGATATTGTACCCACAGGTACCGAGTACCGATGTAGGTGATGGAGGATGGCCTGTCGATCAAGTACCTAGTACTCATCCCGCCGTCTACGCGGGAGCGCGAGTGTGGCCCCCGGAACAGCATCTCCGTTATTGGCTGCATTGTTTTGCTTGGGCAGACCTGCATTTGTTGATGTTCGACTATTTTGGTTGGTATTTTGGTTATTCCTTAATTTTCGGCTGGGTTTTATTTTATTTCTTATTGGAAGGTTTTTTGGTATATTTCGGTTTTATTATGATCAGTCTGAATGGTCATGCTGGCAGGTATAATTGACTACATTAGTACCAAGGATGGGAAATGATATCGTATAGAGCTTTCCCTTCCTCTTCTCTCCGTAAACCCGGAGCCACCAACAATCCTTAGTGGGGGAAGGAGTCTTCCTTCTCTTTCGGGCTTATCGATAAACGATAGCCTATCGATCGATCCTCGTTCCGCCGGCCGTAGACATCCCTGTCGTGGGGAGTATATGGTCTGTGCTATACCTTATTCACGGCGCTTAGGTAGAATACTCAATGCTACTTCGGACTTCACCTGCACGACTACCTGAAACTACTGTTTGAAAGTATATTTTTGTACCCCCATGTACTAAACTTATCCCCTTTGAATGGTCAGATGTCCAGTCTAACTGTCATCCTTCTTTCTATCCGCCGCTAACAGCCAATCATTCCCGAGTCAGTGTGACGGCTTCTTTGGGCTGCCATCCATGGCGCCTTGGATGTTTTGCTTTTTTCTTTGTTGTGCTCCTTATTCCGATTCATTATAGTTCCCTTACTTCGTATAGTCTAGGATGAGTCTCTATAGAATGAATCTTTGGGACGGGCTCGGCCCGCTGATCCACTGTTGGGCCGACCATGGATGAGAAAAGAAGGGAAAAAAAGGAAAGCACGGATGTCATGCACTGATCACTCGTCCCATCCAGATGACAACCCCCCCCCCCCCCCAAAACCAAATTCCCCGAATGGAGCTACCCTGGAGGTTAAGGCTCGACAGCTTAGAGTAAGAGCTTGGGTCGAAAATCTCACACACCTGATCTTGCTCAATCTTGCCGTGATCTACTTGCAGCTCTCTCTGCAGCTCCCATATGGCTGCAGCAGCCACCTTTCCAACTCTTCTGAGCTCACAGACCACATTTAATCCATGATCGACTATGCGGAGTGCAGGGGACATGATGCCATCGTATTGACGGGTGCCTTCCGGCTTGCTGAGCTGCGGGGGGATATCCTAATCTACCACTATTATTACCAATATACTAACATCTCCAACTTCGACCACGATTCACCATGAGCTGTCATTGAGCTGTCTCTTCTTTTTTTCTGGCTTTCCCCCACAATTCAATCAGTCCCCATATCTAGCCTTGCCCAAAGCGTAGACCGGGTTCCTGTCAGTTCAATTCCCCGGAGCACACGCCTTCGGCGGCAGCCGCTGAGTCTGTTCACAATCTATACATAGCACACAGCACATATCCTGTGCCAGTGATAGGCCTGTCACCTGGGCGGCAACTTCGCGGGTGGGCAACTTAGCCCGGATAAGATCTGGCGGTGAAAAAGCTGAGTCTGTCCAATGGAGATCCAGTATGCCACCGGTCAACCAGTCCACCCGTGGACGGGTTCATTGCTACATTAGTCATAAACAGGGAAATATTTTCAGTCAAGGTCCCCCGGCGGCATTCTTGTTTTTTGCTAGCTCATGACGCTTCCACCAAATGCAGTATAGTCTTCTAGAAGCCGGTACCAGTCTCATAGTCCTTTGCGTATACACCGGTAGATTCAGCACCCGTACCTTCCCTATTGCGACACTGGCATATTCGCCCTTCCTGCGGTGAAGCTGAAACCAATGTTTTGCCATGTGACTCGGAATGAAACTGGTGATCTACCTTCTCTGAATGAGCTAGAAGGCAGTGGCAGGTCCACGGTCCACCACTCCACTTGCATTCTAATATTTATGTAGCTAATGGTCCACTTCTTCCACGCTGCATACAACTTGGAATACGACGTACACTGTACGTGCCCAAGGGTCTGTAAAACATCTCCCCGGTGCAAGCTAGCCGGATACGATCTCAAAGCCTCACTTTGAAGTGGTACCTGCCTGATATGCCGTGCACAGGGTACATTGGGCACATCGGATGGGAGTAAGCCATTGCCTTGGAAACTGGATGTGACTGGGCCACTAGCTGCTCACTGCTAGCCCTCTTTTATGCTCCACATGCCGGATTGGGGACTCGTAGGCGTTTTTCATGAATGTAGTCTGCCTATCGGGGAATTCAGCTTTTCTTGGACCCGTCGGAGGAAGCATATTTGATCTCTGTGCCGAGGATCCTCCTTCACCGGTTCAAATGACTCATTTTGTAGTAGGGCGAGAGATGAATGAAAGGACTTGGGAGTTTCTGTCGCTTGGTGCGGTTATGGCCAGCTAACACGTCGTCGAAATGAGTTTCAAGCAGGTGGACCAACATACAGGAATCCCAATATTGAGACAAAGAAGCTATTACTCAGTATTTCCGCTAGACTAATCTTTTTAGCTATTCTCGTCCGATAGACTGGCTTTCTGCTACTATTCTTGTCCGAAGGATTCATATTCTTTTGTTGGATGACGTTTCCAATTTTGCTTTGAGCAGATTTTCTATCCTGCACTAAAGCCCAACAATCAATTCCAACGTAGTACAATAATTAGTCTTCCAATTCAACAATTCAACAAAGCCGAAGGACCAAAACCAACACAAGATGGTGTTGGTAGACAAGCCCATATGCGTGGCTTGACCTAACCGCCGACGCTTCCAAGTGTTGGTGATACACAGAGTTTGCAGGATGTCAAGAGTCTAGGATTATGTCTAGCTATAGCCCCCAACAATAGATCAATTTATTCCCAGGAGTTACATTCTAGATAGACCTTGACAATTGCTCATTTAGACAAGGAAGTGCTTGACTTCAACCCGTACATTATCCCCATCCCGACTTGCTCAAGACACGCGGCGTTGATCACAATGTTACATCTTTGTAAATGTTTTAAACTTGGATTCCGACTATTTTCTATGACTGTACTCTTCCGTTTTGTATTTGAGGTCCAAATAGAATCCTTGCTGCCTAGCACTAGGTGCTATTTGATATACCCCTCCATATCTATACTTGGAGGGTACTGATATATATATTGACCACACAGTCGAAATACTACAAACACACTACAGTAAAAACAAGTACACAAAAAAGATTCTAGGCTCTGTCTGTCTTGCTCGCCTGTTTCCAATATTGATTCTATGGCTAGCAAGTTTCACAGGCTTGGATCATCCTTGTAGTTCTCGGAAGGATATCCTGGGGTGCAGATTTCAATATTGCGCGCTCCTATAACAGTCCATCTATATTTCAAGCATCATGCATAGCGAGGCTTATCCATACCTCTACGGCCACACAACCTCATTCTTCATGTCACCAGTCAACAGGACATGGACCCTGCAGTTGTTGCTATCACTGTCACATGGCTCGGCGACAGGATATCGACATGTGCAACTATGGTCAGCAGACATAGAAATTAAGGAACTTAGTACGCGTGCAATAAGAAACTTCAAGATAATCATTTCAATTTTTTCAATTTCTTCTCAACTGAATGCTATCAACATGTTTTCGGGGTATGGGCAAAAAGAATGAAAAGCAAGAAAGACACCTATCCAATCAACTACAAATGCCAGAATTTAGGATTTAGAAGCGGATAAAGTCCTGCTGCTGCGACATCTCGCCGCTATCCACACCTTCGATCAGTTCTTCGGGGGAGTCATCGAATGTATCCGAGTCAACGTCGTCCGAATCAATAGCGTCATAGTTCTCTTCCTCGCTAGACTGATCAGACTCATCTTCACCCAAATCAGCTTTGCTAGCAGCAGCCGCAGCAGCCTTGCGGATCTGGCCCGCGCGGTCAACATGCGGCAGCTGGCAGCGCTTCTTGTGGCAGGCGCCGGTATTGGCATAGTCTGGGCACTCGTGGACGTGCTTCTCTTCGCAGGCGTCGCCCTTTTCGCAGTATCCTAGTGTTGCAAAGGCGCGGCAGACGGGGGCACCGGGTGTCACGCGGACGTGGGCGTAGCGACATTCCGGGTTGGCGCAGCGTCCTCTAAGGAAATGCATACAAGTGGGGGAGCGATGGGGCGAAGGCTCATGGGATAGATCACAGCTACTACCTGCGGCACATTTGCCTGTCTGGAGGAAGTCCTTGCACATAGCGACCTTACTAGGGTCGTGGACGAATTGGCAGGTCGGGCCTTTGTAGCAGGTGCCTAGAAAAACAGACGTATTAGTTTTTGAACATACTTATAGGGTAGAGCATAGCAGTATGGCCCGTCGGAAAACAAAATACCGGTTGTTGTAAATCTTTTGCAAAGCTCATCGCGCTTCTTAACAGTATGATTCCTATTGCAAGGTCAGTATAAAGGTAACCATCATTAAAATCAAGACTCACTTCTTCATAGCCACAGCACCGAGACGGTGGAGGTTTCCGTTTTTGCTTCGCACAAAGGACACATCGGCAACTGTGACGCGCTTAGGCGTACTGTTGGCAGTACTAGGGTCATCTATGAAGGGTAAGCCAATTCGAGAGGAAGAGCGAAGGGCACACGCACTCGAAATACGAATCAGTTTGCTTCCGCCATTTGCGACCCTGAAAGGAACATCATTGACAAGAATCTGATGGCCAGCTGCAGGATTTGCAGCGGTGGAGACCACCGCACCAGCACCTGGACCCTGTGCATATCGAAGTACTTTCGCTTTTTCATACTCTGTTTTTTTCTGTTCTCTAAGCTTGCGCGTTCGTTCCATATCCTTTGTCCTGTCCTGTGTTTTCCGATCGTAGACAGCAGGGTTGATCAGCTGCATGTGGCGATCGTGCTTCACAACCCAACCATTGCTAGAAGATGGTGTCGGAGCCGCCGCGCTGTCGTTCGCACTACTCGGGGCGGGGGATGAGTTGGCGCTAGGGGTCGAGCCAGCGCCCGCGGTGTTCAAAACCAGCGTACGGTGTCGGTGCGGAGCAGCTGCTCCACGACGTCCTCGACCGCGTCCCCTGTAGTATGGGGCCCATCCTGTGTGAGAAGGGACATGGCGAGACACATATTGAGACTGATAGTTAGCTGGCTGGGTCTCTTGCGTCTTGTGGCGGTTTATTTGGCCTTTTCATGTTAGCTTTGTCTTGACGGTGAGTGAACTGATACTGAGCGCACCTGCAAGCTGACCGATCTTGGCCAGGAGATCGTCGTTTTCGCTCATGGTGACTAACTGAAGCTAGATATGGTAAGTGGGTGGCAGATCGGATATCTGAGAATTTTTCAGATTAAGATCAGAAGCTGGGTGGTATTTCAGAAGAAGTTCTGAGCCGGTGATGCGGAGGAAGCAGCAAAGACGCGCCCATTTAGCGTTGGTGTGATCCTGGGAGGGTAGTTTGTACTGTTTGCATTATTTTGGTGCCTTAGGCATGAATACAAAGTGGCGAGGAGGTCCGTGCCCGGGATGAGAACGTCACCAACCACCTTGAACAGTACGAAGGAGACAGAAGAACGCGTCTTCGAGGCTTGTGCAGTTACATGAGGCCAAACAGGACTCACTTCAGCATTATAATCTAACTTTGACCTCACCGGAGAGCAGCTCCACGTCCAACTTGACAATCACCAACGAAATACTCCGTACCCCGCGTACAAGTACATAAAAGTTGAGAAGAAATAAATATAGTCAATAATAGATCAGAGGCTTGTTAAATACACTCGATGTCTACACCAGGGATGATCAAGCAGTGGGCAAACTAAGGTCTTGCTGAAAATCATCCCCACATGCTGCCGCTATAGTTCGCAATGTGTATACTGTTTTATCACACGCCTACTAGGAGATCTGAAGTTTACAAGAAAGCCAATCGAAGGCGTTTAGAGGTCGATAATATTGGGCAAGAATTACTGGCTCGACGTGCTTACGCCAATAACTAACAAGAAATGCATACGATTCTGGTGAGACAGCGTGGTCAAATTCTCGGAGGCTGGTCACTGCGAATCCTAAAGGGATATGAGTTTCAAGAAACTGTTTGGGACCAACTCCATAATTGTGTGGAACCCATTTGTCATTTCATTTTATGACTATTTTTCGAATTGAACCATGACCCCCGGTCTTTCCTTGAAAGCCTTAACGCCAGGACCTGCTTATGCAACATACCGAAGCCGTTATCTGTGTGTATTTGTTTAAACGTTCTCGAATTGAACATCATCCTGATCCATTCCAGAAGCTGGGTCATCTTCTGACTCGTAAGGATCATCGGCTCCTGGTGGCAACTCTGCCTTAGCATTGTCCATCGCATTAGAGTACTGACTGTGGGTTGCCTCGGGCTTCAGTTCCCAGGTCATCGCGAAATCACCAGCCTTGACAAGGTGCGCAACCATCTCCAAAGTCTGCTTGAGATATGCCTCCGGCTGTGCCAATCGGGCCTTGAGTGTCTTAAAGGGCCAGTATTTGAATTCGCGGAAGCATTGGAAGATAAGATCCAGAAGCTCGTTTTGCGGCATGCGGGTGGATTTGTTCTCTTGGGATTTTCCTTTGGAAGGTCGTGTGGCTTGCTGTAGACGAAGTAAGTAATCTAGCCTAAAAAAGAAAGGGAACTTGCAAAGACTTACCACAAATTGACCCCTTTCGGTGGGAAGAGCATGGCGCGCCTGGATGATCTTCCCGGGAATCTTATCAATGAAGACAGTTTCCTTGCGAGGTTTCAGAGCTTCCAGCGCCCGCTTCTCGGATATCCGTCGGAATTCTTCATTCTCCACGGGAAGGCAATTGAATTCTTCACTGACCGCGCCGGCGAGGGCAGTGTGTTCTAAGAATTGTGAGCAAATACAACTCGCCAGGTAGGCAGTGGCACATACTTGGTATCGTCTTTCGCACATAAGGCTCCCATCTTTTGCCCTGTTCCCGCCGCTTCGCTTCACGTTTTTGGGCTTCGTATAGAACCGAGCGCGTTTCGCCGAATGTAGCCATCCGGTTCTCGACGCCGGGGATATCCTTCTCGGTGAATACGTACGTATTGTGGGTGAGGTGTGATCCAGTGCCTGATGGGTCGACCGTTTGACGCTGGAGTGTGTAGTCCTTGGGAATCTCCCGATTATCTGGGCGATCATGTAGGCGCAAACTGACCTGGCAAACGGACGCATGTCAGAATCCGCCAGGCACACTGCATACGCATGTTTCCACTTACTCTTTTGATGTCATTCGGTGTCCCCTCCACTCTCATAGTGCCAAGCTCAATCTCCTCGTCATCGTCCAGATGGGCCCAGTGCTCCCACAGCGACCGAGGCAGACGGGAAAGCCACACATTCTGACCTGCTTGTGAAAAGTCTAAATCCCCAGCATCTTCATAAAGGTCTTCTTCATCAATGTCTCGAAGGGCAATATCCTTGCTGTCGGGGTCTTGTTTGAAGTACGGGCGATCCGGGTCTTGCTTGACCTGCGCCATACTGGATGTGAGGTGGCTCGAGGACAGTCGGAATTCAGGGGAATTGACGGTGTGTCAAATGCGACCGTCAATGCGCTACTGGATTTATTGGGAAAGAGGGTGGTGGATGTGGTTATAAGCGCGTTCTTGAGCGATGAAGTCCGCGCCACCCAAGTCTGGAGCTATTCACTCAACTTGATATGGTAGGCGGTGAGAGCTAGCTTTCTTTGTATGACGATGTCCTTTTCAACGTCACCTAGTATTGCACTGGCTGTATGGCTAGTAGTAATTCATATAATCAATTTCAATGCGATCATAAATCAAGACTTACCTAGGTAGTATTCCTAAGCGTTCAACTGAGCGAAATCTTGAACCTTCTTGAGTCATCCTCTGGTAACTTGGTGTCATAACAATCATCATACTCGACAACTATCCTGCTACCAATAGCACGCCTCTAGCAACTGTGAGTAGTTGCTATTGAATATATCAATATCACTTACCAGTTCACCGTACCCAGCCCAAGCCGGATAATGAATTTCGACTCACTCTTATATGAGAGACTGACCAAACCGTTAAACGATACTGGCCGCGGACCAGAAAATTCAATAATGGAAGAAGAGAAGGCTGGACAACAATTTTCCAGTCTAGTGACAGATTATATTTATGGGCACGGATGTTCAATGATGTTGAAGAAATATCGCACTTAATCCATTGGGGTTGTTTCCAATACAGTGACTCTCCACCCAGATCAGCAAATAGGTCGAAGTTAGCTAGCAATCCTTGCCACTTACAAACAAGCTCTTTCGTACAGGTTTCCAAGCCAAGCCCATCCGAAACACCATCTTCATATTTGCTGTGCAGCGCGCCTTTCCTCTGCACAGCTATTCCATAAACAGCACCCGGGTTCTATTACACTACCTAGTGAGCTAATACTCTAAGTATAGATCCCAAGGCTGAACTTACTTCAACATATACAGTAGAGGATATACCCCGGCGCAGTTTGGTATATCCCTTTGACACCATATCAGCATCATCAAAGAAAACCGTGCTTCTTTGACAGTTTGTATCCATGAGGTATTTGCTTTCTTATATCGTCCAAGGGATGCTCCCAAGAAGAAATAACCTGGGTTTATCTTCTGCTATCACCCAGAGTTACCGTCTATCTAGATCCTGGCATTGGTAAGCTCGAGCAGACGATGTGATTCTCTTCGTTTACGTATTTTACAGATTCGTCTTATCATTCTATGAGAAAATCAATTACTTCAAAAAACGACTCGGAGAAAGAGTCTGAGATAAACTTTGAGAAAGACGTTGAAAAAGACTACCAACTACTAAAAACGATGCTTACGTAGGTTGACGACCTCGTATCACTTGCTGCATCTCCTAGAATATCTCAGACATCTTGTCTTGTATGCTTCTTTAGCCAGTCAAGCACAGTGCGGTACCACAAGAGTAAATTCTCGGGGCTCCGGATCTGATGACCCTCATCCGGAAATATGAGGAGAGCACTCTCAACTGACTGCAGATTCAGAGTGTTGAATGCAGCCAGGGCTTCAGAGACAGGATGCTGCCGATTTAGTGCTCCGTGGATGATCAATTGTGGCGTCTTTCAGTTCCCGGCATGTTGTGCAGGGTCCCATTTTCTCCACTCCTCTGGGCTCACCCAAGGCGGTCCACCCAGTCCATGGAAAATCGAATGTTGTGTGCTGCTGGCTAGATGAGAGAGCAGGTTGAAGGTGCCATTATCTGCGATCAATGCCTTGAACCTGCGGCCCAAGTCGTGACCTTGCATCCAGTTGACCATGTAGCCTCCATAACCGAGACCGAGTGCCACTGCACGCTCGGTATCGACGTACTCGAGGTACTGGGAGATATAATCAAGGCCGTCTTCCAGGTCTTTGTACGGCTTTCCAGCCCATGAGCCTTGTATGGCATCAGTAAAGTCATGCCCGTAGCCCGTGCTTCCTGTCGGGTTTGGCGCCACGACGATATAACCTTGCGCGGCGAAAAGCGCGAGATTGCAGTGCATGTTCCAGCCTTGTTTCCAGCTATGCTGCGGACCATCATGAATGACACAGAGGAGGGGGTACTTTTGCTTTGGATTGAAGTACGGTGGTTTAATCACCCATGCATGGATCTTGTGCTCTTCGTCACACGGGAACCAGATTTCGTCAACCTGTCTTCCTGAAATACCAAATTTCTCTTCACCGAGGATGGATGGGCCACTGAGGGTTGGTGGTTGCGAAATTTCAGAATCTTGAGCCGGTAGATCTTTAATAACGACCTGCCTGCTTCTAACAAAGCTGTCGCAAGACACTAGAACCCGTTTTGATTTCCCGGGGAGGACTGAGACATCCATGACCGAACCAAACGGGATAAGACCGTCAAATAACTTCAAGTCGGCTGGAGTCGGTTGGTTCGGCCAAAGCTTCATAGTGAGGTAGTAAAGCACTTGACGTCCTCCTTGGTTGACCTGGATCAGTATAGATCCGTTGGAGACGTATGAAATTGCTGACGGGCTGAGGTTCCATTGTCCCCTGCCATCAGCGGAAGCAAATATCTCCGTGCTTTCCCCTGTCTGGAAATTCGTCACCAGTACAATTCGATTCTTGTCAGCGGCGTAACCATCCTCCTTCTTGCACAAGAGGGCCACGGTCCCGTTCTCATTCACGGTGGGAGAGCAGATGGCACCTCCCAAGCCACGGTATCGCCAAGCACGGTAGTATTCATCGGTTGGAGGTGATCCAGTCCAACTAATCATGGGACACAAGTAGCATGATGAGGTTGTCTGTGTCGATTGATCGGACCCGGGGTCTTTGGCGACAAAAGCAATGTGCCAAGTATCTTTGAAAAAGTCTAGAGAGTCATCATCTAACGATCCATTTAACTCAATATCTCCGAGCTTGAAGTATTCGATCAAGTTCGTCAAATGTGTCATTGTATATTGACCCTCTGGAGCCTGTGATGGGCGCACGAGTGCTCCGAACCATATCACATTCTTGGGGTGCTGAGCACTCCGCCCAGGGAGTGTAGTTTGTGGTTGGCTAGGAATAGGGGTATGTATCCCATCAGCAGGATTGAAAAGTGCTCCATTTGTATTGGCTTGGCCAACAACCGCAAAAGATAGATCATCATCACAGTCCTCCCTGAATGCAACAGACCCAACTTTGAGGTTCTGGACTGGCCCAGGAACAGTTCCTATGAGGTATTGGGCACTTTGAAGACGAGCATCCCTCACAACAAAGCGAGTGTGCCCATTTTCCATGACCTCCAGCCAGATGAGCTTTTCGCTGCGGCCGAGCCATCTGGGATAATTGGCATGAGGGTTGTCGGTGATAGCCCAGGATCTTGGTGTATCCATCTCCCGCACGCGAATCTGTGCGAACACGCTGTGCGATTGGAACGAATAACCCCGCTGTGTGTATACCGCGAGATTTCCAGATGCATCTGGGATAGGATGGCTGCATGTTGGCGCTTCTAGTAGGGCCCTTCATGGAATTTTGCTCAGCTAGAGACATGGAGTAGTAGAGATGGAACTTACTCGGGGGTAGACCTAACATTATGTATAGCCATAATGATATCCACTATCTGATTTCTGTGGTAGACAAAGGTCTTGGTCCTATCTGGAACGGCGAGGGGCTTTTCACAAGTGATATGTACCTTCAGGTATCAGTAAAATCCTAAGAAATTAGATAGTAACAGGGTAACGGTCATATATCACGTGTGTGAGATACTATGGACAGAATAACAAAGATAGGTTTGCTGCGACTCTAGGGTTTGACCCCCAACATGCCAGGTCCCGGCCACATGGCGCCAAGAATCACACCCGCGGGCCAAGGTCACATTGTCATCAAACTTGGACCTAGTCTCCTTCCGCATCCGGATGTAAACCGAGATTACATGCTCCGAGGCAACAAAGTACAATCAGCCTCCCCTATGAGCCCCTGCGGCAGCGGCATTCTTTTGTTGTAGCCCATGCCTATCTTGATATGCGATTTAAAGTGCTCATCCCTGTCCTGCTTTCATCGATTTATTACCAAAACACGAAATGATCCTGCGCTGGTACACTCTCGACAGTTAGACCCATAGCCTGACATTATTTACCTTATGTCCCTCCAGATTGCCTTGTCCTTTTGGGGTGCTTCTGTGAAAGGATCGGGGCCGTCGGGTAAATCTGCTCCATGTGGTCCGTGCATTGTAAAAAGAGCTAGGAAGAAAGCTTAGCCAATCAGGAAGAATACATCTATTTTACATCACCTCTACGGATAACAGCGCTATATTCTATCTACACCAAATTCCTTTCTTTACGACATGACTGTAAGATTCATATTAAATCTATATTAATTTCTAGCTTTGTGAAGGTCTGATTGAGTCCTCTCTAGCTACATGTAAACGAAATAGCACGTGTTACAATGTGCTGCATAAGAAACAACACATATGACTACGTCAATCTGTTAACAGCATTCGTATGGCAGTAAATTAGCGTACTTGGCATGCTAATTAATAAAGTGCTAGCAGAACAAAGAATCCTGAAGTGAGGCTTTCCCTGTAGCTGAATGTCTCTATTGTTTCAGTCCCTGCTTCATCCGAACTGCTAGTTATCAACTCCAAAATTTATCCGGTATGAGTTGGAGGACTTTGCGAATCGTCTTGACTAAGGATTGCAATGATTGGATTCAGCCATGGACCGGGCAGTGATGCTGCTAGTTCCTAGCAACGATTAATGGAGAAGGCTCTCAGTTGTGGCGGATTAGCACTGATTCAACTGTATTGGCCGGACTCCATACACATCCTCTATGCTGTGTGATTTACAAGCACAGACCTATAATCATTATATTAAATGGTTCAGTGGAGTATCGTCCGCTGAATCTAAGAATTAAAAGATGCACCCCCCTCGGAAATTAACAATTCCTATTTGGTTCGAGAAAGTTGGCGTTGACAATCACCAACCCGGCCAAGTTAGTCTGATAGGTCAAGGTACTCCATCCTTGACGCCAGGTAATACTACATTGATAACAATATCCTGTTGGCTTGCATGTCGGTTGGGGGGAAAGGCGAATTAGAGCAGCAAGTGACGAACAAATACCGATACAAGCAGTTTTCCGAGCCCGGAGAGATTAGGGCCGCTAATGTCCTGATACCACCCAAGGCGGAGCCATCTCAGACTAGTTAAAGCTCTAGGATGGTGTAGTCAAGGGCAAATGATCATTGGACCATGAATAAGGGAGATTGGACATATCAAGAACTATACTATACCATTCTCAGAACACTCACTAATGTGAATTATGGTGTGATTGTGGTCTCGGAACTCCTCGAGCAGAGCATCCCTTAGATATAAATTGCGATAGTCTCAATAGCTTGACTTGATATATCTCATGCGACTTTGACTACAATCAAATTGACCTGATAAATCTCTAAAGCCATGGCCCTTGAACTCATAAGGAGTGCTGTCTTTTTGCTTGCTCTTTACTTTCATGCTGTGCATGCATCTCCCAATGCAACTGAAATCTTCTCCTCGAACCGAAGTACCTTCAGTGTATTGACTTCTCGCGATGCGGAGGACTTCACTCTTCGGATTCTTCCTCTTGGGGCCTCTATTACAGCTGGCTATTTGTCCAGTGACAGCAACGGGTACCGGAAAGCTCTTCGTGCTCAGCTCCGCCATGCTGGCTGGGTAGTCAACATGGTTGGAAGTGTCTCCACCGGTACAATGCATGATAACGTATGTATTCTGCTTTCGAATAGGGCTCGAGCTTTTTGTTCTCATATAGAAAGAACGGGTGCTGATAATTCTCTAGAACCATGAAGGACACCCGGGCTATCGAATCGAGCAAGTACAAAGCGAGGCCAAGAAAAGCATTACCTCGAAGCCTAATCTTATTTTGATCAAGTAAGAGTCACTCTTGCCCTTTCTCCCTCGTCTACTTCATGCATCAAAGTGGCCACTAACCGACAACCTGTTGCAGTGCGGGTACAAACGATGCAACCCAGAAGTATCAGACAGATACGGCTGGTGATCGAATGGACACAATGATTGACTACTTGTACTCATCTGTTCCAAACGTTACCATCATCCTGTCGACGCTTCTACCGAACACCGCCCAGCCCGCCCTAGTTGGCCAGATCAGTGTTCAATATCGACGACTATATATGCGACGGAAGGCTGCGGGTGATAAGATTGTCATTGCAGATATGCAAAGTTTTATTTCCGTTGATGATCTTCAAGATGACACGCATCCGACCGATGATGGGTACATAAAGATGGCATCGATATGGTGGCCGGCCATTCAAGAAGCCCAGACCAATGGCTTTCTTACCCCTCCTGCGGACACAGACGTCAGCGACACATCGAGTTCAACCTGTGAGAAAACATTTGCCAGTGGCGAAAACAACTATGCACAGACGCAAAGAGGTAGTGGTACAGATGACGGCAATTACATACACAACTCGGAGGACAAGGGTCGAATTTTGAAGATCACTGCGGTAGGCAATATCCACGAGGGGATCAACTTTGCACAGCTGGTAAACACGGGCGGTGCGTACCGTGAAGGTGCATTAGATGAACTCATCCAAACTGTTGATGGCGCTGGAACTTATATGTATCTGAATAACAACAATGGGGAATTCGGCGATCCTGTCAAGATTGACGTCAAGGATAGTTGTTTGGCCAGAGGCAAGTCATTGTTCCCTGGAAGCGATTCCAAATTTACAGAGGACCAAATCTAACGCTACGCACATTTCATAGGCGTCCACTGGGGCGATGTCAATAATGACGGGCTAGACGATTTTATTTGCATCAGCCGTGAAGGTGCCATGTATGTCTCGATTAACAAGGGCGGCAATCCCCCTACATTTCAGTCCATCGGGCTCGTCATGGCTGCTCCTGGGAGTGGTCTGGCCCAGGAAAACGTCCGACTTGGTGATATTGATGGGGACGGGCGATTGGACTAGTAAGTCTACAGTCTCAATGTCTGCAAGCAATGAGACTAATTTTCATAGTTGCCTTATCCAACCGGATGGCGATATCCAATGCTGGCGGAATGGCGGTCAGAATGAAGCGCCCACCACAGAATATGGTGGCTATTGGCAGGATCTGGGTATTGTCTTCACTGGCAAGAATATGGGTAACATAACTGGAGTCCGCTTGGTTGACCTCAATGGTGATTTCCGCAGTGACTGGCTGTGGATGGATGACGAGGGCAAAGTTACCACCTATATTAACAATCGTGGTACAGGAAAAAACAGTCTTGTGCCTGATTGGGTCTCTGCGGGCGTTACTCATGCCGGTATGGGAGTGGAGGGGGCAAAGGAGCGCATCAAGTTTGGCTTGGTCTACGGAGGTAGTACCAAGGGCGCAGACTATGTTTACATCGAATCTGTCCAGACATCTCCAAGTACGGGTGGAGCAGCACCAATCTACAACCACTACACCCACGTTTGGAAGAACGTCGGATCTGGGGGAAGATATTTGAAAGGTATGAGCTTCCAATATAGTATCTTGTGGATGGCTCCTTTTAGGAATACTAACTCTTCCTCTATAGGCGATGGTGTTTACTACTGTGATATGCGCGGAACGGGGGCAGACGACTATGTAAGTTTGACTGACCTCAGCTGAATACTTCCAATATCAAGTGGTCTGATATTAGTTTACCACAAGATTTGGGTCTCCCCCGATGGAATTGGCTATCTTTACGGCAATATTCACAGCCCGCCAGTCTGGAGCCCAGAAGGTCCGAAGATCTTCGAAACAGGAAAGGAACGGAAAGCGATTCACTTGGCTGATTTCGATGGAGATGGCAAGGTAGATACTAACTTAACAATCCATTTCTTTTTCCAAGGGTCTCAGGCTAAAATTGATTACTAGTGTGATCTGTGGCTTGTGGATCGGGCCACCGGGGCAGCAGAAGTCTGGATTAACAATTGGAATTCCAAATCCGGTACAATGTCCTGGGACAAGCGTGGAATTGTCAGTGGGAGTGCCAAGTGTGTCCAGGGCTGGGGTGTTGGCCTCTATGATATTGGTCTCCGGTTCCATGACATTAAGTACATCTATGTCCTATCCGGCTTGATACGAGATTTCTAACATCTTCTTCTCTAGTGCCGACGGCCGTGCAGACTATCTGTGTATAGAGTAAGTATCTTGGCTGAGTTTCCATTGGCAATCTTCGGTGGTCTAACACAATATGTCTAATCTCAGGCCGGATGGACGTACAACAGGAGCTCTGAACAAAGGAGAGAACAACTTCGAGGATGTTGGCCAAATCAAGCATACCGAAGGATATGACCGTGCTAGTAAGTTGAGGATGGCATTTCACATTCTGCTCATCATGCTGATTGCCTTATTAGATCATAAATGGGCCGATGTGGACGGTATGGCTACCTCAGGTTGCGTCTTCTCATCTTGCTAACATGTGCACCAGGAGATGGCCTTCTGGACTTCTTGTGGGTGGATAAATTCAATGGAGATACCTCGGTATGGCTTTTGACACAACCTTCAGGATGAAACTAAAGCTTTCAACAGGTTTGGAAAAATAAAGGCCGAGTGGCAGATGGCAAGCTTGTCGGCGGCTCCACATTCGAATGGGAAGCCTTAGGAGCTCGTTATCAAGGGGCTGATCGTGGCGTATGTCACCATTCTGAGAAATCATTCGCATTTCACCTTAGGCATCCAGACTGACTTGATCCCAGGCGAATATGCATTTCCCAAATCTTGGTGGATTGGGTCGTGCTGATTACCATCAAGTTATCCCTCGCACAAATAAGGTAAGGTCCTCGGCTTGATCATATTTTCCTTGGCTCATATCGTTTCAGGCTTATACGTGGTTCAACGTGTGCTCGGGTGGTTCGGGAAAGGCCCTCGATGATGAGGATCCCTCAATTGATCCAGGTTTGCCGGCCTTGACAGTACCCCACCCCTTCTGGCCTCTTCCTCACAACTACATCTCATATGGAGACTCTTATGCTGCTGGGATCGGTGCCCATTGTGGCTGGATTATAGATGAATTCGATGAGAGTACAGAAGGAATAGATTGTCGCCGCTGCGAAGGATTGTATCCTTATCAACTTCTCAGCGCCGGTCCCGAGCTGAACGGTAAAGAACTTCGGTTCCCATCTTGTTCTGGGGCAGTGATTAATGATATGGAAAATGCGAACGCCAATGGCAGAGAAGGTCAAATCATATGGGTACGGGCCTTGGATTATTATAAATCAAGCGGTTGGGGAACACTGTCTATCGGCGGCAACGATCTTGGATTCGCAGATATTGTGATAAGTTGCATCCTCTGGTGGAACTCCAACAAATGTGACGCTGCTATGGGCCGGGCAGGCGCCAAGGTCAGAGATCCTGCGTTCAAACTGAAATTGGCTGATCTTTACAACAACATCTTGCTCGATGCTATGGGAGGGCGGCAACCTGAAAACCACGGGTTCTTGTTGGTTGTGACCGGGTATGCGCAGTTTTTCTACGACAAGGATGGTGAGTGTGACGAAAGTTATTTCTGGCGCGGGGGATACTTGAAACAGGAATTACGGATGAACGTGAACGCGCTTGTGGTGGAATTGAACAATGTCATCAAGGAAGCCGTCATCATTGCGCAAGATGCCTTCGGTGGCAACTATAAAACGGACTACAACATCAAATTCTTCGACACAGATGTCCTATTCGAAGGCCACCGCTTCTGTGAGCCTAACAAGGACTATCACGATAGCTGGTTCTTTGTGATACTTGGAGCTGATGCCCTAGCCGACGGTACAGTGGTTTCAGAGCCCTCAGCCACCGATGGAGGGATTGATACGACAACTTATTGGCAGAGTTGCCAGACAACAGATGCAGACATCTGGACGGACATGATTTGTGAGTATTCTAAGGCGGTGCATGATGGGACTCCAATGGGACAGGCGAATGTGACTGAGGATGGCGATGATTACAATGTCATGGTGCCACGGGAGGCTGCAAAAGTAATGCATCCGAAAACAGTAGGATACAAACAAATTTCGGACGGAATTTATAAGCTTGTGACGAGTCTTTAATGGATGAAATTATATAGCTGAGGGCGTCTGTGTCTCGGTGAGAAAGAGTTCAGGTCAGCACACACATCATATTCACGCAACATTCCATTAGAGACATGTATCCAAAGCTGCAAATAATTGATTCAATGCATAATTCAAATATGATGAAGTTCAAAATTCATGAAGAATGAAACTTGTGATATGATCTGCCGCCAATTTTTGCCGAACCCGAGGAAGTTTCCTTTGGGTGGCCGTTGCCTAACAATATCTTAGTACGGAGTATAACATCGCTAGAACCATTTCATTCCAGACTAAATGCTCCGTGCAGTGCAGTCGGCTGATCGATCAGGCTCGCAACTCATCAGATGCCAAGCTCTGTACTCCGTACGGAGTAAGCGGCTGGCGAAGACAGTCTATTTCTAGCTCTATATGAAACTACTATAATTAGATCTCGTAAGACCAGATTTACCTGTGTTATGGCCAGATTAGATGAGTTTCATTGTTCTGTCTCTCTAGGACTGTATACATCCAGCCAGCTCTTATCGATAACAGTAGCTCGGATGTCCCCACTACTCCGCGTCCAACAACTCTCTTGACAACCTCTCTTCCACTCACTCGACCAGCATGGCTTCCCAAAAGATGACCAACGCCCTAGCGGGCATCGAAACAAACCCGCACCAGCCAACAAAGCTACACCAATACACCGAGCTCCTCAACGAGATGGTAGCAACCTCCAGCGGCCACGAACTCGCCCAAGATCTAGTCTACTACCTAGACTCAATCCTCAGCGAAGAAGTGAGCATCGTCGCTGCCCGCCCCCTCCTCGACGCCTTCATCACAGTCATCCAATCCCTCGACCCGGAAACAAAAATAAAAGTCGGCCAGCACGCCATCACCCTCCTCCACACGCGCTCCGCCTCCGTCGAAGAACAAGACTCGCAGATCCGCGAGATCCTCGCAGATGCCTACGAATCCCAGGAAGACTACACAGCCGCCGCCCGCACCCTACAGGGCATTCACATCGACAGCTCGCAGCGCCTAGTCTCAGACGCCGCCAAAGCCCGCCTCTGGATCCGCATCGTGCGCTACTACCTCGAAGACGACGACACCACCAACGCTGAAGCCTTCCTCAACCGCATCAAGAACCTCCCCTCCAAAATAGAGGACCACGATGCGAAGCTCTACTTCCAGCTCTCCCAGGCCCGCATCCTCGATGCCCGCCGCCGCTTCCTTGACGCCGCCCAGGAATACTTCAACGTGAGTCTTGCGCCGGGCGTCGACGAAGAAGACCGCCTGACGGCCCTATCCGCGGCGATCCGCTGTGCTGTCCTTGCGCCTGCCGGTCCGCAGCGCTCCCGCTCCCTCGCTCGTCTGTACAAAGATGACCGCACGCCCTCCGTTGAGGAATTCGGCATCTTGGAGAAGATGTTCCTGGACAGGCTGCTTACAGCGGACGAAGTCGCCGCGTTCGCGAAGAAACTTGCGCCGCACCAGCTCGCTGTTACGGCGGACGGCACGACCGTTCTCGACAAGGCGGTTATCGAGCACAATCTCGTGGCGGCGAGCAAGCTGTATGAGAATATCCACGTTGATGACCTGGGCTCGATTCTGGGGTTGCAGTCTTCGGGCGATGTCTCTGCTGGCGAGAAGGCGGAGGCTTATGCCGCGCGCATGGTTGAGCAGGGACGGCTACGTGGCCGGATTGATCAGATTGATGGGGTTATCTCGTTTGATGCTGACACTCTCGGTGGCTCCTCTGCGAGTGCTTCTAACGGGACGAAGCTGAGGCAGTGGGATCTCGGTGTGCAGGATCTTGCGGAGGATGTGGAACGGGTTGCGACTAGTATCTCTGATCAGTTCCCGGTATGTCTTTCCTTCTGTCTGAGGTTGGGTATTGGCTAATATTTGATTCTAGGAATTTGCCACGAGCCAGATGGTGCACTGAATGATCTGCTCTACCTCGTCTGTGTATCCTGATGAAAGATCTACGAACTCATGCCTTATACTACTCTTGCATATCCTTTTAGCCTGTCCGAGAAATGGAAAATCACGCTCGATTGCTGATATACGTTGCATCTGTCTCTCGAGTACTATACTTAATTAAAATACTGTCGTTGCAAAGCGAAAGCCGTGGCTTCATAGACTTGTCTGTCAACTCACGTACTTCTGAATGTTTTTGATCAACTCGATAAATAAATACTACAATCTTGGTATAAATATCGTAACAAGTAAGGTATAGTATGAATTATTAGGATAAACCGAAGAAAGCCATTGTGTACATAGGTAAATCGTATATGTATGAACATAAAGTGGAGGAAAGGTGGCATACTAACATGCCCGCTCTGCATCCTCTTCACCCTCTGTTTAGTCCTATTACGATATCCGGTAGGCCATTTCCGACCTAGCTATAGCTGGAGAACCATAGCCGAAGCAGATTCGGCTTTCCTCCAAGAGAAATAAACCCCATTCACTCCAATGTCCCGTCCCAAAAACAGAAGACAAAAAAATCATCACATCGTAACGGCGTAAATACACAGTACACCACCTCAGTGGTTCAGCCTCGTAGTAGAATCATTCCCCGGAATGATAGAAATATCCGTTTGAACATTGATTGTCTGCGGATGGATATCATCACCAAGGTAACCAGGCGGCTTGCTCTCGATCTGCGCATTATACATCTTAGCATACTCGAGATCGGGCGAGCGCGGACCAGAATTCGACAAGAACAAAGAATTCGTGTAATCGGTATTGATATACGCCGGACCCGTTCCATTGCGCGAGGTAGTCAGCTTAAACGCCGGGAACAGACCGCGGATAATCGGCAAGTTGGAGCAGATCAGACCAACGGCAGGCTCGATGTGCGTCCACAGCGTCGCCTGGTAGACGGTGAAGGTTGGGTCGGACGGGCTGATCCAGAAGAGCACGACGATGCGGTAGATGCTGGCGAAGCAGACGAAGGTGCCGAGAGCGAATACCCCGTTTAGGGCGAGCTTGTCTTGCCATGCGCGGTGGAGGTTCCAGATCATTGGGATGGGCAGGACGAGGATCACGAAGTCCATGACTACGTTGAAGGCTTGGTTGACGACGATGAATTCTTTCGCGTTGAAACATGTTCCTTTCGTGCTGTGGTCCCAGTAGGAGCGTAAGGGTCGGCATTGTCCGGCGCACGCGAGGAAGATTCCTGTGCCCCACGCGGCGATTAGGCAGTTTATGCCGAAGCTGACTTTTTGGAACTTTGGGGTTGCGAAGATGCGGCGGTAGAAGCAGATGATGGAGATTTTGATAGAAGGGCTGAGGAGGAAGTAGGTGAATTGGTTGGCGAGGAAGATCTAGCGGTGTTAGGTTGGGTTGTTGATATTGGATATTGCGGGGTATGTACCTTCCAGTAGTTCACGAGGGTATCGGGGGAGAGATCCGCGATATGGACTCCATTGCCTCCGATTGTACACCCTGATAGCCGTTAGTATACGGATGAATTCCTGTCGGTGGAGTCATACTTACAAAGAATCAGCTCGATCAACATGCCAATGAGGAGCACCATGGACAGCATGCTCAGATAATCATCGACGCCGAACCCGACTCTCCTGCGAATGCGAGCAAAGACACGCAGCACCAGCGAGATCAGGCACAGAGCGACCAAGACCGAAACGATCTCAATCATCTGCCAACCCCTCTTGCTTGGCGCCATTGTACTTTGAATATGCAACCCAATATTGAATGAGTGAGCTGCAACCGAACAAAAAGGTATGGTATGTATGAATAAGAAAGGAATGAATGGGAAACACAATCTCTGGGCGTTCCTCCGATATAAAACATGTACCACGCGAGTGTCCAGATCAGTCCGGGGCCCTGGAACCCTAGGCTAGCTCGAGATTCCACATTCCCATTGTTCTATCCACTCACACGCAACCCCTAGTGGCCGATCGTTGTCCTAATGGGGATCTGGTTCGTGCGGCATACGCGACTGAACCACGTGGATGATGCAATGAGATCCATCACAAGTTTCTGAAGAGAAGTGTAGACCCTCTTTCTGATTTTTGGGTCTTTGGGGATGTATCGTGTAGACCATACAATGGCATACAAAGCATAGCTTCTTTCAAGGAATGACAAATGCTTTCTCAACAGAATATGCCAGTGGATCCAAGCAGGGGCTGTTAGCCACTATATTAGGAAGGGATATCCCTGCGATCGCCATCTGATACCAGCTGAGACTGAATCATGCGAACTTTGAGACGATTGAAACCTTGCAAGGATCAACTATTGGACTATTGTCTTTAGACTATGTATCCATATTCGCACTTAGATCGTACTCCATATATCCTCATGGATCTGTATGTGCACACTCCGTCTCCGTACTGCATACATATTCATGTATGACCTCCACAGACTGAAAAGCCATCCGGACGCCACTATGGTCTCACCCACAGTGCACTTCTCTCCCAGTTCTCGGTTAAACTTACAATGTAGATCCCGAGTCAATAGCGTCGAAAATCCACGCTATTAAACAGCCGAGGCGAAGTTTAACTTAACACGCTACTGCGAACGCATCCAAATACAGAAGGTGGCGGGGTAAATGCACATCCTATATCGTATGAAGACAGGCCACACCGGAGTGGGTTCTTCAGATAGCTGGTTAGGGCGCTCTTTTAAGCCCAATTGCGCGCAGTGGACCTGAATCCCACAATCTTCAGTTACCTCATAACTTGTCGATCACTGGATACCCCTGAATGTGCCGATTTGTGTACAGTATATGGACGAAATCTGTATAAAAATTAGCATTAGACGGTGGAAAGCGATCAAATAATGGTCGCATATCGCGGAATAGTTCCATTAGGCAACGCGGTGCCTAAAGATCGTCCGCAATCAGCTCCGAATTCAGTGGATTCAATTGTTAGCGGAATGAGATAGGATACAATGCATGTAAAGGAGTAAACATATTCATGCCGAGGCTAATACTGCGTCTATTATCTCCTACAACAACCTGCATACCTCCTATACCTCCTATACTCATCCTCCTATCT